AGATAGAAGTACAGGTGATTTGTGTCTCAACATGTAAGAAGTAGTAGAAAGTACAGGTATTTGAGTTCAACATGTGAGAAGTAGAAAGTACAGGTATTTTGTGTTCAAACATGTAAGAAGTAGAAAGTACAGGTATTTGGGTTCAACATGTAAGAAGTATAGAAAGTACAGGTATTTGGTTCAACATGTAAGAAGTAGAAAGTACAGGTATTTGGGTTCAACATGTAAGAAGTAGAAAGTACAGGTATTTGTGTTCAAACATGTAAGAAGTAGAAAGTACAGGTATTTGTGTTCAACATGTAAGAAGTAGAAAAGTACAGGTATTTGAGTTCAACAGTTAAGAAGTAGAAAGTACAGGTATTTGAGTTCAAAATGTGAGAAGTAGAAAGTACAGGTATTAAGAAGTAGAAAGTAACAGGTTATTTGAGTTCAACATGTAAGAAGTAGAAAGTACAGGTATTTGGGTCAACATGTAAGAAGTAGAAAGTACAGGTATTTGGGTTTCAACATGTAGAAAGTAGAAAGTACAGGTATTTGTGTTCAACATGTGAGAAGTAGAAAAGTCCAGGTATTGGTTTCAACATGTGAGAAGTAGAAAGTACAGGTATTTGTGTTCAACATGTAAGTAGTGAAAGTACAGGTATTTGTGTTCAACATGTCAGAAGTAGAAAGTACTCTGGTATTTGTGTTTCAACATGTAGAAGTAGAAAGTACAGGTATTTGTGTTCAACATGTAAGTAGTAGAAAGTACAGGTATTTGTGTTCAACATGTAGAAGTTAGAAAGTACAGGTATTTGTGTTCAACATGTAAGAAGTAGAAAGTACAGGTATTTGTGTTCAACATGTGAGAAGTAGAAAGTACCGGTATTTGAGTTCAACATGTAAGAAGTAGAAAGTACAGGTATTTGGGTTTCAACATGTAAGAAGTAGAAAGTACAGTATTTGGGTTCAAACATGTAAGAAGTCGAAAGTACAGGTTTTGGGTTCAACATGTAAGAAGTAGAAAGTACAGGTATTTGAGTTCAACATGTGAGAAGTAGAAAGTACAGGTATTTGTGTTCAACCATGTGAGAAGTAGAAAGTACAGGTATTTGTGTTCAACATGTAAGAAGTAGAAAGTACAGGTATTTGGGTTCAACATGTAAGAAGTAGAAAGTACAGGTATTTGGGTTCAACATGTAAGAAGTAGATAGAAGTAACAGGTATTTGTGTTCAACATGTGAGAAGTAGAAAGTACAGGTATTTGAGTTCAACATGTAAGCAGTAGAAAGTACAGGTATTTGAGTTCAACATTGTAAGAAGTAGAAAGTACAGGTATTTGGGTTCAACATGTAAGAAGTAGAAAGTACAGGTATTTGTGTTCAACATGTGAGAAGTAGAAAGTACAGGTATTTGTGTTCAACATGTAAGAAGTAGAAAGTACAGGTATTTGAGTTCAACATGTAAGAAGTAGAAAGTACAGGTATTTGTGTTCAACATGTAAGAAGTAGAAAGTACAGGTATTTGTGTTCAACATGTGAGAAGTAGAAAGTACAGGTATTTGAGTTCAACATGTAAGAAGTAGAAAGTACAGGTATTTGGGTTCAACATGTAAGAAGTAGAAAGTACAGGTATTTGTGTTCAACATGTGAGAAGTAGAAAGTACAGGTATTTGAGTTCAACATGTAAGAAGTAGAAAGTACAGGTATTTGGGTTCAACATGTAAGAAGTAGAAAGTACAGGTATTTGTGTTCAACATGTGAGAAGTAGAAGTAAATGTAAGAAGTAGAAAGTACAGGTATTTGGGTTCAACATGTAAGAAGTAGAAAGTACAGGTATTGAGTTTCAACATGTAAGAAGTAGAAAGTACAGGTATTTGGTTTCAACATGTAAGAAGTAGAAAGTACAGGTATTTGGGTTCAACATGTAAGAAGTAGAAAGTACAGGTATTTGAGTTCAACATGTAAGAAGTAGAAAGTACAGGTATTTGAGTTCAACATGTAAGAAGTAGAAAGTACATGTAAGAATTAGAAAGTACAGGTATTTGGATTCAACATGTAAGAAGTAGAAAGTACAGGTATTTGGGTTCAACATGTAAGAAGTAGAAAGTACAGGTATTTGAGTTCAACATGTAAGAAGTAGAAAGTACAGGTATTTGGGTTCAACATGTAAGAAGTAGAAAGTACAGGTATTTGAGTTCAACATGTAAGAAGTAGAAAGTACAGGTATTTGGGTTCAACATGTAAGAAGTAGAAAGTACAGGTATTTGGGTTCAACATGTAAGAAGTAGAAAGTACAGGTATTTGTGTTCAACATGTAAGAAGTAGAAAGTACAGGTATTTGGGTTCAACATGTAAGAAGTAGAAAGTACAGGTATTTGGGTTCAACATGTAAGAAGTAGAAAGTACAGGTATTTGTGTTCAACATGTAAGAAGTAGAAAGTACAGGTATTTGTGTTCAACATGTAAGAAGTAGAAAGTACAGGTATTTGGGTTCAACATGTGAGAAGTAGAAAGTACAGGTATTTGAGTTCAACATGTAAGAAGTAGAAAGTACAGGTATTTGTGTTCAACATGTAAGAAGTAGAAAGTACAGGTATTTGTGTTCAACTTGTAAGAAGTAGAAAGTACAGGTATTTGTGTTCAATATGTAAGAAGTAGAAAGTACAGGTATTTGGGTTCAAAATGTAAGAAGTCAAAGTAAAAAGTCGTCAGAAAAATAAGTAGTGGAGTAAAGTACTGATACCAGGAACATGTATTAAATACAGTAACGAAGTATTTGTACTCCACTACTCCCCCCCCCACCCCACAATGCTGCATTTAATCACACACGACCTCTGACTCTGAGGTCATCACGGCGGTGTTTAATCATTTCCTGTTGTCGTTGATTTCGCTGACACGCTCTCTGGAGGCCGTTTCAGGGTGACTTTAATTTACACCGAGGGCCACGTTCAGAAAGGGCCGGGCCGCTCACTAGAGGTATACTGCCTCATAAGTTACGTTTTAAGTTTGCAAAATCAATCAAATGTAGGTACTGCACTACTTATTTTTCTGACGACTTTTTACTTTTACTTCTTACATTTTGAACCCAAATACCTGTACTTTCTACTTCTTACATGTTGAACCCAAATACCTGTACTTTCTACCTCTTACATGTTGAACACAAATACCTGTACTTTCTACTTCTTACATGTTGAACACAAATACCTGTACTTTCTACTTCTTACATGTTGAACACAAATACCTGTACTTTCTATTTCTTACATGTTGAACACTAATACCTGTACTTTCTACTTCTTACATGTTGAACACAAATACCTGTACTTTCTACTTCTTACATGTTGAACACAAATACCTGTACTTTCTACTTCTTACATGTTGAACTCAAATACCAGTACTTTCTACTTCTTACATGTTGAACACAAATACCTGTACTTTCTACTTCTTACATTTAGAACACAAATACCTGTACTTTCTACTTCTTACATTTTGAACCCAAATACCTGTACTTTCTACTTCTTACATGTTGAACACAAATACCTGTACTTTCTACTTCTTACATTTAGAACACAAATACCTGTACTTTCTACTTCTTACATGTTGAACACAAATACCTGTACTTTCTACTTCTCACATGTTGAACCCAAATACCTGTACTTTCTACTTCTTACATGTTGAACACAAATACCTGTACTTTCTACTTCTTACATTTAGAACACAAATACCTGTACTTTCTACTTCTTACATGTTGAACTCAAATACTTGTACTTTCTACTTCTTACATGTTGAACCCAAATACCTGTACTTTCTACTTCTTACATGTTGAACACAAATACCTGTACTTTCTACTTCTTACATTTAGAACACAAATACCTGTACTTTCTACTTCTTACATTTTGAACCCAAATACCTGTACTTTCTACTTCTTACATGTTGAACACAAATACCTGTACTTTCTACTTCTTACATTTAGAACACAAATACCTGTACTTTCTACTTCTTACATTTTGAACACAAATACCTGTACTTTCTACTTCTTACATGTTGAACACAAATACCTGTACTTTCTACTTCTCACATGTTGAACCCAAATACCTGTACTTTCTACTTCTTACATGTTGAACACAAATACCTGTACTTTCTACTTCTTACATTTAGAACTCAAATACCTGTACTTTCTACTTCTTACATGTTGAACTCAAATACTTGTACTTTCTACTTCTTACATGTTGAACTCAAATACCTGTACTTTCTACTTCTTACATGTTGAACTCAAATACCTGTACTTTCTACTTCTTACATGTTGAACTCAAATACCTGAACTTTCTACTTCTCACATGTTGAACTCAAATACCTGTACTTTCTACTTCTTACATGTTGAACTCAAATACCTGTACTTTCTACTTCTTACATGTTGAACCCAAATACCTGTACTTTCTACTTCTTACATGTTGAACTCAAATACCTGTACTTTCTACTTCTTACATGTTGAACTCAAATACCTGTACTTTCTACTTCTCTCATTTTCCAAACAGCTGGTTCCTTTAGTCTGAATGTGTGTTTGATGCGTGATCATTATTCTTTAGAGTCATTGCGTGCCTATTGATTTGAACACGATCCGTGTATCCATCATTTCCTGGTCTTCTCTAAAGAAGAGGGACCAATGGAAACGTTGTCATGTTGCCGTTGTTCAGCATGGAAACATTCATTAGCTAACAATGACATTATTGTTCTATGAATATAAAGGGAGGTCAGGTACTCTTTAAAGCAGCTGCTAGTTATGGGTACTTTTTACTGAAGTACATTTCAAAGTTCTTTACTTGTACTTGAGTAAAGAAGTTTAGTCAGTACTTCTACTTTTACCAGAGTATTTTTAAACATGAGTATCTGTACTTCTACTTGAGTAAAGGATGTGTGTACTTTTGCCATCTCTGAAAATAACTCTTTCACAGATTTCTTTGACCCTCCAGCTCCTTTACTGCCTCTTTCCTCCCCAGATGGCTCTCAGCTCCTGCAGGTGAGCATCCCCTCCCCCCCCCCCAGTGCCTCCAGTGCTGGGCGGCTCCCTGACGCTGCCCTGCCTGGTGTCCCTGCCCCCCCCGCCTTCCGCCTCCTCCAACGGGCGCCACGCCGTGCTGACGCTGCCCCGGGTCAAATGGAGCGTCCTGACTCAGGGCCACGAGGCGGAGATCCTGGTGGCGCGGGGGGACAGGGTGAGGGTCAGTGAGGCGTTCAGGGACCGGGCCTCGCTGCCGCACTACGCCTCGTCCCCCGCAGACCTCACGCTGCAGCTGGAGCGCCTGCAGCACAACGACACCGGGTTCTACCGCTGCGAGGTGACGCAGGGGCTGGAGGACGCCCACGCCCTCGCCCAGGTCAAGGTCAAAGGTGAGGGGGACACTGGAAAAATCTAAAATTCATAATTATCAAAACAATTTAATCCAAAAGTAAAAAAATCAAGCAAAGCAAGATTTGTTGCCATGATTAAAATGTGTTATACAGTGGTGCAGTAAAGACGTATTTTTAAAGAGGAACCAGAAACACCAGTCTATGAATTTTAAAGGTCTCCTATTATGCTATTTTTAGGCATATATTGGCGAGTTCCTTTTTTTATTTCCTGCTTTTTTACACAAACTCTCTCCAGTACAGGTTAGCTCTGAGTGTTAGCGATGCTTGCTAATGTAAACAAAGACCATATTACGTCCAAAACACGTCACGCTTTTTGTTACCCCCGTTTTTTAAAGATGTGGAGGAAAAGAGAGAGGCTTTTGTTTTCTTCGTGAGTTCCCAGACACACCGGGAACACATATTTATGCATAAAAGACATCAAAAGTGCAGTTTGCATGATAGGAGACCTTTAAAGTAAAAGGCTATGGCTTGGCTGTAAAGGAAATACAGCAATATGTTATCTTGTCCTTTTGAACAAAATATTGGAGATGATTAATTTCTAATATCTATGTATTTTGATTTGAACTTGAAAATAAAACACAGATTTCTAAAATTGCTGCTTTTCTTCTCCCAGGTGTGGTGTTCCTCTATCGTGACGCCTCCAGTAGGTACGCCTTCACCTTTGAGCAAGCAAGAGACGCCTGCGCAGAGATCGGGGCGGAGATGGCGTCTCCGGAGCAGCTGGAGGCCGCGTACCACAGCGGATACGAGCAGTGTGACGCCGGCTGGCTCTCCGACCGCTCCGTGAGGTGAGAGAAGAAGTGTCAAATTATCATATAATCATTTAAAGGGGACCTATCATGCAAAATGCACTTTTTTATGTGTTTTAGACATAAAGATGTGTCCCCGGTGTGTCAGGGAACTCACAAAGTGTCAGAAAATAAAACCCTCCGTACCCAAATCTCTAGAAACGAGGGAACAACGGAGCTGATCCAGATTTGCGTCCGATATGTAATATCTGAAATGTGTGCGGGCTTTACACCCACGGACCTATCAGAAACGTTGCTATCAGAAACAATGTGCGATGTGTTTTGGACGTAATATGGTCTTTGTTTACATTAGCAAGCATCGCTAACACTCAGAGCTAACCTGTACTGGAGAGAGTATGTGTGAAGAAGCAGGAAATAAAAAGGAACTCACCTTGTGGTAAACCTGAGAGAGAAAAAGAGTTTGAGCTCCATACTGTTTCAGAAATAATCCTTGATGTGGTTTGGAGCATAATATAGCGTTTAATCACGGGAGAGACATGTCACAGTAGAGACACTACATACTAGGGATGTAACGATACCAAAAACTCACGGTACGATAATATTGCGATAAAAAGTCCACGGTACGATATTTATCGCGATATTGAAAAATAAAGAAAATAAATGTGAAAAAACATTTTACATTTTTTTTTTTTACTTTTTAGTAGGATATTAGTATTTTAAAGTGTCAACAATATAATAATCAGACCCTGCAATAGAATAAATCAAGTTTCACTTTAGTTTTTCAAGTAACTCAACTCTAACTCACTCACTCAGCGTCATCAAGGTTATCTTTTAGGAATATGAGCATGTCCACATTTCCAGGTAGAAGCTGGGATGTTTGGGCGTTTACAAAATCCCCTGCTGTGGAAACAACTCTCTCGCTTGGTACTGATGTTGCTGGGACAGAGAGATATGCTTTGGCCATGGGTGACAGCAGTGGGTCAAACTGTGCATTGTCTCTCCACCACTTCAAACACAATACAGTTTTTGCCAAGAAGGTGAGGCTTATTGACAGAGATATAAATATACTGTTGGTACTTGTCCATGTCTCTAGGTGTGTAAATGTAGCCCTGTAAATACGATGTCCTTTATTGTTATCTGTTGTTTTATGTTCATGTTGTAACCTACTTGTTGCCATGTTGGACAGGTCTCCCTTGAAAAAGAGATTGATGATCTCAATGGGAACATCTGGTTGAATAAAGGTTTTTTTTAAAAATATATATATACATTTTTTTTTTTTAAACGCGGTATATTTTGTCATTCTCACGACGGTATTGAGACATTTATTTACCGCGATATTCGATATATCGTTACATCCCTACTACATACTGATATGAACTTGAAAATTAGCAGTAAAGGGCCTCTTTAGAGCAACATTTAATGCAATAATGTTGGAGACATACCGTATTGAGTTGTGAATTTGCAGTAATCGACATTTTCCCCCGCAGGTATCCGATCCAGATGCCCAGAGAGGGATGCTTCGGGGACATGGATGGATTACCGGGAGTGAGGAATTATGGGATGTTAGAGCCCGACGAGCTGTACGACGTCTACTGCTACGTGGAGAATATCGATGGTAACTACAAATAACTAACTCACAAAATTCTATCGTGGAAAAACTTTGATATTTTGAGTGAAAGTAAAGATCGATCAAATGCTTTATTATGTGTTTTTATTATGGTTTTATCAGATTTAGCAGATTTTAGATCGATATGAACGTTGAATGAACGATAAAGAGTGTTACTCAAAACTTTTTGCCAGCAGTTTTAATTACTGGGATTAGTACTGCGACTGTTAAACTAATCCCAGTTCGACCCCCTTACACTCCTGTACTGTGCCCTTTTGTTTTTGTTTTTGTTTGGTTTAGTTTCAATGAAATGCTAAAAAAAACCTACAGTGATAGTTTAGAAAGTAGGAGGCTTTTTCAACTGACGCAAAGTCCCTCTGATCTAAACCAGCTCCATAAAGAATGAATACTTTTTGGTGTAACAGACCATAAAACAAGAGAAGGGGGGTGCTAGTGACTTATCCGACCGGCCCATCTCGGTACCCGCTAGTAAATTGTCGCCGGGGGGGGGGGGGAGGAGGGTGCTAGTGAATTATTTGACCGGCCCACATCGTGCGTCCCGATGGCCAGTCCGCCACTGGACCGTGCTGTAGTTCCTTTATAGCCCAACATTAGCCACCTTTAGCTTAGCGGTGGTGACGTGAAGTCATGTGACCGTGCTGTAGTTCCTTTATAGCCCAACATTAGCCACCTTTAGCTTAGCGGTGGGGACGTGAAGTCATGTGACCGTGCTGTAGTTCCTTTATAGCCCAACATTAGCCACCTTTAGCTTAGCGGTGGTGACGTGAAGTCATGTGATCGTGCTGTAGTTCCTTTATAGCCCAACATTAGCCGCCTTTAGCTTAGCGGTGGTGACGTCATGTGACCATGCTGTAGTTCCATTATAGGCCAACATTAGCCGCCTTTAGCTTAGCGGTGGTGAAGTCATGTGACCATGCTGTAGTTCCATTATAGGCCAACATTAGCCACCTTTAGCTTAGCGGTGGTGAAGTCATGTGACCATGCTGTAGTTCCATTATAGGCCAACATTAGCCACCTTTAGCTTAGCGATGGTGACGTGAAGTCATGTATCCGTGCCGTATATAACTTTCGTTATCCGACGTGCCATTGAGCTATCTAAACTAAACTACAACAACCCCCTGACGTCTCTGAGATCTTGACACCTTTCCCCTTGTGTACAGGTGAGGTGTTCCATGACCCCGCCCCCCAGCGCTTCACCTTCTGGCAGGCGAAGGCATTCTGCCTGAGTCACGGGGCGGAGCTGGTCACCACGGCTCAGCTCTACGCCGCCTGGAGCGACGGCCTGAACCTCTGCAGCCCGGGGTGGCTGGCGGACGGCAGCGTACGATACCCCATCGTCACCCCTAGGGAGCGCTGTGGGGGGGGGGAGCCTGGGGTCAGGACCGTGTATCGCTACAGCAACCAGACCGGCTTCCCCGAGCCCCACACTCTGCACGACGTCTACTGCTTCAAACGTGAGAGACATGTTGAAGATTTAAAGCAATTCCTCCCACTTATCTTACAAAAAAACTAGTTCAAAACTGACTGATTTACTACTTTCATGAATCTTATATATAGTGTTTTAGGGTTTATCTGATTTCTTCAAGGCCTTATGATGTTCTCCACAGTAGGAATTTCAACAAATTGAATTGCTGATCACCACTTTAATTACATTTTTGAGTGTTTGGTAAACTTTGTAACACCTACAGTATGGTGCCGGTCAAAAATGGCCACCATAGGTAATGAATGGGTAACCCTATATTATGTTTAAACATCAGAGAGTAAACACACACACAAATTGACTAAATGTGGGAGTGTGTACTTTGTACATTTGTGCATTATCATTAGTGTACTATCATTTAGACACTGAATACATATTACATCTTCTTTGTACATTCATGAAACCAGTAGTCTGAGACCTTGTTTACAGATTAAAAGGGTGTTAAATACAATTTGGTGATGATTCATGTTTTTTGTGTTAATGTAAGAGCAGTTAAATTCGACCGGTCAAAAACGTATTTTTCGTGTAAAAACAGGCAGCTTGATGAAGTAAATGTATTTGACTTTGTGCAACTATGGAACAAACCTGGGTGGATTTATTAGATTTATAGCAATTTATCTATTGCATCAATCAACGAAATATGCATTATTTAAAACTTCTCTTTGGTTAACAGCTGTTGAAGTCATTTTGATTACATTTCTGCTCTTTATTCCACGAAATAACGGCCCTTACACAGACTCTCCTCTGGACTTCCTCTCCACTGAGCGCGCGGACATCGGCCAGGACGTCGTGTTCTTCACCGACCCTTCAGAGGAGGAGGGGTTCAGCAACAGCGAGGCGACGGAAAAGAGCCTCGAAGAGATCTTCCACGTCCAGACGGACAATCCTCTCAAACACGTTCCTGTGCAGAAGATTACACTCGGATACAACCAGGAAGCACCCAGTTCTCTGTCTGTCACTCAAACATCTGAGCATCCAGACTCCACAGGGGAGGAGAGAGAGAAGGAAAGCTTCCCGGAGGCATATCATCCGGCATCTGATGAGGAAAACACTGAAGAGTCTCCAGCAGCTTCTCCACAAAGTGTTGATGGAGCCTCCACTTTACCCACAACACCTGAAGAGCCCTCAGAGCATCCTTTTACTGTCACCGAAACAACTGATACTTTAAATGCAACACCTGCATCTCATAGTTCTGTCACCGAAACAACTGATGCTTTAAATGCAACACCTGTATCTCATAGTTCTGTCACCGAAACAACTGATGCTTTAAATGCAACACCTGCATCTCATATTTCTGTCACCGAAACAACGAATACTTTAAATGCAACACCTGCATCTCATATTTCTGTCACTGAAACAACGAATACTTTAAATGCAACACCATTATCTCATATTTCTGTCACCGAAACAACTGATACTTTAAATGCAACACCTGCATCTCATAGTTCTGTCACCGAAACAACTGATACTTTAAATGCAACACCTGTAACTCATATCTCTGTCACCGAAACAACTGATACTTTAAATGCAACACCTGCATCTCATATTTCTGTCACCGAAACAACTGATACTTTAAATGCAACACCTGTATCTCATATTTCTGTCACCGAAACAACTGATACTTTAAATGCAACACCTGTATCTCATATTTCTGTCATCGAAACAATGGATACTTTAAATGCAACACCTGCATCTCATATTTCTGTCACCGAAACAACGAATACTTTAAATGCAACACCTGTAACTCATATCTCTGTCACCGAAACAACTGATACTTTAAATGCAACACCTGCATCTCATATTTCTGTCACCGAAACAACTGATACTTTAAATGCAACACCTGTATCTCATATTTCTGTCACCGAAACAACTGATACTTTAAATGCAACACCTGTATCTCATATTTCTGTCACCGAAACAACGAATACTTTAAATGCAACACCTGTATCTCATATTTCTGTCACCGAAACAACTCCAGCTGTAAATGAAACACCTGTATCTCATATTTCTGTCATCGAAACAACGGATACTTTAAATGCAACACCTGCATCTCATATTTCTGTCATCGAAACAACGAATACTTTAAATGCAACACCTGTATCTCATATTTCTGTCACCGAAACAACGAATACTTTAAATGCAACACCTGTATCTCATATTTCTGTCATCGAAACAACGGATACTTTAAATGCAACACCTGTATCCCATGCCTACGAGCTCCTCAGCAGCTCTCCAGGTGTTCCCCATGTGGAGGACCTTCCTGTTTCACACACTCCTGAAGCTGAGCTCGTCCACTCGAGTGTTTCAGAAGCCAGCGCTGCTCCCTTGGAGGAGACATCTTCACCAAACGCACAGGAAACAGATGTTCTCTCCGCCGCCCCGCAGCCTGAGATCTACCCGACAGAAGAGGAGCAGGTGACCCGTGTTCTGGAGCTGGAAACTCAAATGCCTTTCACTCAAAGTTCAGGTGTTCTTGAAACCTCTGCAGCCTCTGAACTGCTGCCTACGTCGGCTTCAGGTGAGAACAGAGAAGATTAAAGTGAAAAATGTACCTAGAAGTTCCTCCTGTCGTCACAATACTGGAATATCGTTTTTTGATCCTACTTCTAGATCCAAAAAGTTAACAAAACACAACAACAGCAGGAGAAGTGACGCCTATGGCAGCAGTCAATCCTCAAGTTAAATACAGAGTTAGGTGTAATGAACGTTAAAGGGTCTTCAGCATGTTATTGCGGAGATAAACTGTTCTTAATTGAAATGGTTGTTTCCTTGCATCGTGTCTTAATATCTGTCCTTGTTTGATGTTTCAAATGGAGCTGCTGTGATGCAAGAACATTTTCAGACTTGATCTGATCATTAAAGTATTATCGCCAGAGGCACAATGACTACTTTTGCTTTTGCTACTTTAACTATATTTAGATGCTAATACTTAGGATCAAAATAGGACTTTTACTGTAACAGAGTATTCCTACACTCTAGTACTTGTACTTTTACTCAAGTACAATATCTGAGTAATTCTACTTTTACTGAAGTACAAGATCTGAATACTTCTTAAACTCTGCATATCGTACTTCTTAGTCTACCTAATAATTACATTTTCTTCCATTTTCGAATTTCTGATCTGATCTGTTTTCTCTGCAGGTTATGATCTCACTGCAGAGCCTCCGGGTGTTTCTGTGGAGTCGCCCTCCCCCGGAGATGGAGCTGATTTGAACTCCAGCAGCTCTTCAGAGGAGGCAGCAACACATCCTCCCCCCCCTCCATCCTGCAGAGACCCTCCTCACAGACTCATCCAGTGTCACCTCCTTCCCCACCTTCCCCTCCTCTGCTCCTGTCCCCCCGTCCACAGAGAATACAACAGAACATCTGGAGGAGAAGCAGGAGGATTTGGGAGAAGTTTTCCTCAGCACCACCCAGAATATCTTCCACTTTGGTGCTGCGGCGAAGGAGCATGATGACGGCGGCGAGGGATCAGCTGAATCCTCAGGAGGAAACCCGGAGGTCACGTCTTCGCTATTTCTGACAAATCCCACTTTTGCCCACAGTGAGGGCGAGGAGGCCACAGACGCTCCTCCCCCCTCGGAGGTTAAGATCACGCTCCTCCCTCGACTAGGCCTCTCCCCTGGCTGGGAGCAAGGTCCCTCCTCTTCCTCTTCCTCCTCCTCTTCCTCCTCAACGCTACAGGAGTCCCGCTCTGATGTGGAGTTCAGCGCCATGCCTCCTGCAGCCGAGGAAGAGGAGGAGATCTCCACCAGCAGCATGCATGGTGAGTTTCAAGGTCCATTAAAAGCTGAGGGAAGTAATCGGATCATGTACTTGAGTAGAAGTACTCAGATATTGTACTTGAGTAAAAGTAGAAGTACTCAGATCTTGTACTTGAGTAAAAGTAGAAGTACTCAGATCTTGTACTTGAGTCAAAGTAGAAGTACTCAGATCTTGTACTTGTGTAAAAGTAGAAGTACTCAGATCTTGTACTTGAGTAAAAGTAGAAGTACTCAGATCTTGTACTTGAGTAAAAGTAGAAGTACTCAGATCTTGTACTTGAGTCAAAGTAGAAGTACTCAGATCTTGTACTTGAGTCAAAGTAGAAGTACTCAGATCTTGTACTTGAGTCAAAGTAGAAGTACTCAGATCTTGTACTTGAGTCAAAGTAGAAGTACTCAGATCTTGTACTTGAGTCAAAGTAGAAGTACTCAGATCTTGTACTTGTGTAAAAGTAGAAGTACTCAGATCTTGTACTTGAGTAAAGTAGAAGTACTCAGATCTTGTACTTGTGTAAAAGTAGAAGTACTCAGATCTTGTACTTGAGTAAAAGTAGAAGTACTCAGATCTTGTACTTGAGTAAAAGTAGAATTACTGTATGCCTAAAAAAAAGCTAAAGTTGTCTGCATTAGAAAATAAACTGTCTCTACAGATCCTGGATCAGAGGGGGAGAGCAGCACTGACGATCCCTCAGGTAAATTCTGCACGATGCCTCCAGGTGAGGAGGACAGTGGGGGCCCGACGGTCTCCAAAGAGGATGTGACTGCCCCGCCTATATTCCCGGGGTCTTCAGCCATGGCCGTCTCCAGATATACTGCAGGTACCTGAGCTCCAGAAAACACTACAATATATATTATGTGTGCATCTGGACCCGGTGACAACATTACCTATTGACGCAGCAACCACTGTAAGTTATATTCTTGTTTAATTAGACTTCTCGGTTTCATTTATTCGACTCTGTATAATTGTTACTGTAGCTAAAACGGCTAAATCGCTTTTGAGAGATTTTAAATCTCAGATCTGCTCAGGCGAAACCTGCTTTACAGCTCTCAGCACTCAAGCCTGCATTATTAACATAGGCAGGGCCAGTCTATTGATTGCGTGAAGTAGAACTGCGTGACTCAGTCATCCTTTAGCTCAAAAAGCATTTAAATACCGCATTTAGAAACTGATGAACTCAGTGTGCATCTGGACCCGGTGACAACATTACCTATTGACGCAGCAACCACTGTAAGTTATATTCTTGTTTAATTAGACTTCTCGGTTTCATTTATTCGACTCTGTATAATTGTTACTGTAGCTAAAACGGCTAAATCGCTTTTGAGAGATTTTAAATCTCAGATCTGCTCAGGCGAAACCTGCTTTACAGCTCTCAGCACTCAAGCCTGCATTATTAACATAGGCAGGGCCAGTCTATTGTCGCCCATCAGCTGTAGATAGTTAACTAATTAACTTCAGCTGTGAGAACTGAGCAATCAGGCGTCCATTTCGGGTAGCTCTTTCCTGGAGCGGCAGCTTCAGCGGCAGACAGGCTAAGACTGACAAAGACATTAGAGTCCTACGGGAGTAAGACTGACAAAGACATTAGAGTCCTACGGGAGTCACGAGGGAGGCAAAGAGGAGGCAAATCCTACTTTGATTGAGCTAAGTATCGTTGGCGTTTTTAATTTTTACTTTTGTTGTTTAGCCCCTCATGCTATAATCATGTGTATTTTCTCTATTCCTGTTCATGTGTCTTCTCGCAATTATCACTGGCCCCGTGTATCTCCTAATCGATATAACCGGCCTGCTCTCGTCTATCCCACGTGCTCCACTGAGATCCATCATCTAGTTTCAGGTGGCCTGTGGAACTGCCAGTCAGCTGTTCCTAAGGCTGACTTCATCTCTGGCTACACCTCCCTGCAGTCTCTGGATTTCCTTGCTCTCACTGAGACCTGGATTACTCCATCCAACACATCCACCCCAGCAGCTCTCTCCACTGCATATTCCTTCTCCCATACACCCAGACCCACTGGCAGAGGAGGTGGCACTGGTCTCCTGCTCTCTCCCAAATGGAGCTTTTCCCTCTTCAAGCTACCTAACTTTACTCCTTCCACCTTTGAGTTCCATGCCGTCACAGTAACCCATCCTATACAGTTAACCATTGTTGTTCTCTACCGTCCACCAGGCGCCTTGGGGGACTTCTTGGAGGAATTAGATCATCTCCTCTCACACATCCCTGAAACTGGCCCTCCCGCTGTACTTCTCGGAGACTTCAACCTCCAGATGGGGAAGATAGACGAACTAACATCTCTGTTAACCGCCTTTGCTTTCTCACTCTCTCCGTCCCCACCGACTCATAAAGCTGGCAATGTCCTTGATCTCATATTCTCAAGGAACTGCGCTACTTCTAACCTCTCTGTAAACCCGCTCCACACATCCGATCACTTCTTCATTTCATTCTCTCTATCCCTTTCCAAACATAACAAACTAATCTCTTCCCATCCTACACTTGTCCGCCGTAACCTTCGCTCCCTCTCTCCCTCTACCTTTGCCTCGTCGGTGCTCTCAGCCCTCCCTTCCTCTGATTCGTTCCAACTACTGCCTCCAAACTCTGCTGCAGAAACTCTCCTCTCTACTCTCTCATCCACTCTGGACTCGCTCTGTCCTCTGACATCTCGGCAGGCTCGTCAGTCCCCTCCGGCTCCCTGGCTAAATGATGCACTGCGTGCTAATAGAACCGTCCTTAGGGCAGCAGAGCGGAAATGGTGGAAATCCAAACACCGTGACGACCTCCTAACCTATCAAGCTCTCCTCTCCTCTTTCTCTGCTTCGATCTCTCAGGCAAAAAGCACTTTCTTTCAAGATAAGATCCAATCTTCCAAGTTCCAATCCTAAAAAACTATTTTCCATCTTCTCCACCCTCTTGGACCCTCCAAAAGCTCCTCCCCCCTCCTCACTTCTGTCAAGCGACTTTGTTACCCACTTTGAAAAAAAGGTTAATGATATTCGCTCTTCTTTTTCTGACTCACCTTTACTCACCGCTGGGTCACCAGACCTTCCTTCCACCAACACACTAACCTCCTTTTCCCCTCTCTCTCCAAGTGAGGTTCTTACCCTCATTACCTCTGCCCGCCCTACCACCTGTCCTCTGGACCCTATCCCTTCAAACCTCCTTCAGACTATCGCTCCTGATATTCTACCGTTTCTCACCCATTTCATCAACACTTCTCTAACTTCTGGTCACTTTCCAAACAGTCTCAAGGAGGCAAGAGTAAACCCTCTCCTAAAGAAACCCACTCTCAACCCGTCTGATGTTATAAACTACAGGCCTGTCTCTCTCCTCCCGTTCCTGTCTAAATCACTTGAACGCGCTGTCTTTAAACAACTCTCCTGTTATCTCAATCAGAACAACCTTCTGGATCCGCACCAGTCTGGTTTCAAGGCAGGTCACTCCACAGAAACTGCTCTCATTGCTGTCACGGAGGAACTGCACACTGCCAAAACTGCATCCCTCTCCTCTGTCATCATCCTGTTGGACCTGTCTGCTGCATTCGACACGGTGAATCATCAGATCCTCCTTCGCACTCTCCAAAAACTTGGAGTTTCTGGCTCTGCACTTTCCCTCCTCACCTCATACCTGAAAGACCGTACCTACAGGGTGACTTGGAGAGGGTCTGAGTCCGACCCTTGTCAATTAACTACGGGGGTCCCTCAGGGCTCTGTTCTTGGTCCCCTCCTCTTCTCCTGTACACAAACTCGCTCGGATCAGTCATTAGCCCGCATGGTTTTTCTTACCACTGCTACGCTGACGACACCCAATTAATTCTGTCCTTTCCCCGCTCAGAGACCCAGGTCGTCGCACGCATCTCTGCTTGTCTAGCTGACATCTCTCAGTGGATGTCTGCTCACCACCTCAAGCTCAACCTTGACAAGACTGAGCTGCTCTTCCTCCCGGGAAAAGATTGTCCAACTCTTGACCTGACAATCAACATCGGCACCTCAGTTGTTTCCCCGACTCAGACTGCAAGGAATCTGGGTGTGACCCTAGATAACAACCTGTCCTTCACTGCAAACATCGCTGCTACAACCCGCTGCTGCAGATACACGCTTTACAACATCAGGAAGATACGTCCCCAGCTGACTCAGAAAGCGACTCAGGTTCTGGTCCAGGCTCTCGTCATCTCACGCCTAGACTACTGCAACTCCCTCCTGGCTGGTCTACCTGCATGTGCCATCCGACCTCTGCAGCTCATCCAGAATGCAGCGGCTCGTCTGGTTTTCAACCTTCCTAAATTCTCCCACACCACTCCGCTCCTCCGCTCCCTTCACTGGCTTCCGGTAACTGCTAGAATCCACTTCAAGACACTGGTACTTGCTTACCGTGCTGCGAATGGATCTGGCCCTTCCTACATCCAGGACATGGTTAAACCGTACACCCCAGCGCGTGCACTACGCTCTGCATCAGCCAAACGACTCGTTGCGCCCTCGCTGCGAGGGGGACCCAAGTTCCCATCGGCGAAAACACGTGGGTTTGCTATCCTGGCTCCAAGATGGTGGAATGAGCTCCCCATTGACATCAGGACGGCAGATAGCTTGCACATCTTCCGGCGCAAACTGAAAACTCATCTCTTTCGACTCCACTTCGAGCGTTAGAACGATTAACGAAGCACTTTTATACCAATAAAGGACTGGATTACCTAAAGCCAGTTGAGTAGCACTTGAAATGTTTGGCTCTATGAAACCTGATGTACTTATATGATTCTGTTTTCTTCAAGGTTGTGTCTTCCTGGTCGAATGTACTTATTGTAAGTCGCTTTGGACAAAAGCGTCAGCTAAATGCAATGTAATGTAATGTAATGTAATGTATTAAAAAGCGTTCATATGACATTTAAAGAGTCCTCTCCTGCTGATGTTCAGGTGTATATCAGTATGTAGTGTCTCTACTTTAAAGAGTCCTCTCCTGCTGATGTTCAGGTGTATATCAGTATGTAGTTTCTCTACTTTAAAGAGTCCTCTCCTGCTGATGTTCAGGTGTATATCAGTATGTAGTGTCTCTACTTTAAAGAGTCCTCTCCTGCTGATGTTCAGGTGTATATCAGTATGTAGTGTATCTACTTTAAAGAGTCCCCTCCTGCTGATGTTCAGGTGTATATCAGTATGTAGTGTCTCTACTTTAAAGAGTCCTCTCCTCCTGATGTTCAGGTGTATATCAGTATGTAGTGTCTCTACTTTAAAGAGTCCTCTCCTGCTGATTTTCAGGTGTATATCAGTATGTAGTGTCTCTACTTTAAAGAGTCCTCTCCTGCTGATGTTCAGGTGTATATCAGTATGTACTGTCTCTACTTTAAAGAGTCCTCTCCTGCTGATGTTCAGGTGTATATCAGAATGTAGTGTCTCTACTTTAAAGAGTCCTCTCCTGCTGATGTTCAGGTGTATATCAGTATGTAGTGTCTCTACTTTAAAGAGTCCTCTCCTGCTGATGTTCAGGTGTATATCAGTATGTAGTGTCTCTACTTTAAAGAGTCCTCTCCTGCTGATGTTCAGGTGTATATCAGTATGTAGTGTATCTACTTTAAAGAGTCCACTCCTGTTGATGTTCAGGTGTATATCAGTATGTAGTGTCTCTACTTTAAAGAGTCCTCTCCTGCTGATGTTCAGGTGTATATCAGTATGTAGTGTCTCTACTTTAAAGAGTCCTCTCCTGCTGATGTTCAGGTGTATATCAGTATGTAGTGTCTCTACTTTAAAGAGTCCTCTCCTGCTGATGTTCAGGTGTATATCAGTATGTAGTGGCTCTACTTTAAAGAGTCCTCTCCTGCTGATGTTCAGGTGTATATCAGTATGTAGTTTATCTACTTTAAAGAGTCCTCTCCTGCTGATGTTCAGGTGGATATCAATATGTAGTGTCTCTACTTTAAAGAGTCCTCTCCTGCTGATGTTCAGGTGTATATCAGTATGTAGTGCCTCTACTTTAAAGAGTCCTCTCCTGCTGATGTTCAGGTGTATATCAGTATGTAGTGTCTCTACTTTAAAGAGTCCTCTCCTGCTGATGTTCAGGTGTATATCAGTATGTAGTGTCTCTACTTTAAAGAGTCCTCTCCTGCTGATGTTCAGGTGTATATCAGTATGTAGTGGCTCTACTTTAAAGAGTCCTCTCCTGCTGATGTTCAGGTGTATATCAGTATGTAGTGTCTCTACTTTAAAGAGTCCTCTCCTGCTGATGTTCAGGTGGATATCAATATGTAGTGTCTCTACTTTAAGAGTCCTCTCCTGCTGATGTTCAGGTGTATGTCAGTATGTTTGTGCCTCTACTTTAAAGAGTCCTCTCCTGCTCATGTTCAGGTGGTATATCAGTATGTAGTGTCTCTACTTTAAAGAGTCCTCTCCTGCTGATGTTCAGGTGTATATCAGTATGTAGTGTCTCTACTTTAAAGAATCCTCTCCTGCTGATGTTCAGGTGTATATCAGTATGTAGTGGCTCTACTTTAAAGAGTCCTCTCCTGCTGATGTTCAGGTGTATATCAGTATGTAGTGTCTCTACTTTAAAGAGTCCTCTCCTGCTGATGTTCAGGTGGATATCAATATGTAGTGTCTCTACTTTAAAGAGTCCTCTCCTGCTGATGTTCAGGTGTATGTCAGTATGTAGTGCCTCTACTTTAAAGAGTCCTCTCCTGCTCATGTTCAGGTGTATATCAGTATGTAGTGTCTCTACTTTAAAGAGTCCTCTCCTGCTGATGTTCAGGTGTATCTCAGTATGTAGTGTCTCTACTTTAAAGAGTCCTCTCCTGCTGATGTTCAGGTGTATATCAGTATGTAGTGTCTCTACTTTAAAGAGTCCTCTCCTGCTGATGTTCAGGTGTATATCAGTATGTAGTGGCTCTACTTTAAAGAGTCCTCTCCTGCGGATGTTCAGGTGTATATCAGTATGTAGTTTCTCTACTTTAAAGAGTCCTCTCCTGCTGATGTTCAGATGGATATCAATATGTAGTGTCTCTACTTTAAAGAGTCCTCTCCTGCTGATGTTCAGGTGTATATCAGTATGTAGTGTCTCTACTTTAAAGAGTCCTCTTCTGCTGATGTTCAGGTGTATATCAGTATGTAGTGCCTACTTTAAAGAGTCCTCCCCTGCTCATGTTCAGGTGTATATCAGTATGTAGTGCCTCTACTTTAAAGAGTCCTCTCCTGCTCATGTTCAGGTGTATATCAGTATGTAGTGTCTCTACTTTAAAGAGTCCTCTCCAGCTGATGTTCAGGTGTATATCAGTATGTAGTGTCTCTACTTTAAAGAGTCCTCTCCTGCTGATGTTCAGGTGTATATCAGTATGTAGTGTCTCTACTTTAAAGAGTCCTCTCCTGCTGATGTTCAGGTGTATATCAGTATGTAGTGTCTCTACTTTAAAGAGTCCTCTCCTGCTGATGTTCAGCTGTATATCAGTATGTAGTGTCTCTACTTTAAAGAGTCCTCTCCTGCTGATGTTCAGGTGTATATCAGTATGTAGTGCCTCTACTTTAAAGAGTCCTCTCCTGCTCATGTTCAGGTGTATATCAGTATGTAGTGTCCCTACTTTAAAGAGTCCTCTCCTGCTGATGTTCAGGTGTATATCAGTATGTAGTGGCTCTACTTTAAGCACCTCTTTTCACCCTCTGTCTGAAACCAGGGAACACAGGGATTTCAGCCTTTGCAGACCATTTACATGCACTAAAATCTAAAGAACACACTACAGGAAAGGGAAAACCCCAACAAGCATAATAGGACCTCTTTAAGTATATTAAACACAGTAATTAAAATGAAAATACAATTAAAACAAGCTAGAATAGAAAAAGACAGGCTTGATGTATAAGATTAAAGTTACAGTGTTTTTTTAAACAGCTGTTTGTGTGTTTTATCTCTGATGTGTGATTCTGCCCCGGCCACACGAGGACGAAAACGGCTAAACGCATAGGATTAACGCAAACGCAATCGCAAAAAACCTTCCGTCCACACTAGTCATCCGGATAGTGTCTGTCCACACGAGACAGCTCCGTTTAGCTCCAACCGCTGGAGAAGCTGCAGTACATATGCAGGAGTCTGTACGTGGCGCTGTAACTTCCTCCACAAAAGCAGCGAAGAAGCATGGTTGTCATGGTTGCCCTTCTGTTTATTCTCCGCGGTGGGGGCGAGGGAACCGGGCAGAGTTTTTCGCCAGTCAACGTGTATTAAAGTTTAAATCTTCCGGACAAAATTATAAAAGTGCTGGTCAAAGGTCTTCTTTGTTATTTATTGAGCTTTAAAACAAATGAATAACGACTCTATATAATATAATAATAAAATACACGGAGCCTCTCTTTTTCCTCCCTCTCTCCGGACAGCGTCAGTGTCTGTTTCATGCAGCAGCTGATCCAGTAATGAGTGACCCGGCCGACAGTAAAAATAAACATATTTATAACTAGTTTAGGTAGTTTGAGAGGTGTCTCCGTCCGGTCAGATTAGACTTCACTCGCGTTTATGTCCATATCGAGAGAAAGATAAATAATCTGAATTCAGTGTGCAGTTTACTTTGACGCGGGGGTGAGCAGCAGAGGTGGGGAGAGGCGGGGCTATTGCCTCATCATTATCAGAAAATGATCGTATAGGGCGTACACACGGAGCCGTTGGACCCCCCAGAGCGTTGCGTATGCCGTTCTATCCACCTTGGGACCCGTTATCGTTTCTGCAGTCGTTTAGTGCCGTATTCGGTCGTCCTCGTGTGGCCGAACGGTCTATATGACACTAAACAGTAACGCAAACGACCGCTTTCGTCCTCGTGTGGCCGGGGCATGAAAATGCTTCATCAGGAGAGATGGTGCTGAACGCAACACCTCCCGCTGACTCAGCACCACGGAGAGATTAGCTCTCTGAGAACTGTAACACAGTAAGCTGGCAGCTCCTCTCTGTGTAAGAGGGTTTCACATTGTTGGAGAAACATAACAAACACTCATCTCAAAATAAAAAAAAGGCAGATCCAAACTTCGTTATGAATCAAAGCGTATTCCTTTTTATTTTTTAATGCACATTCAGTTTGTTTGCATGACCCAAAAGAAAAGTTACGCAACCTTTTTTCGACACCTTGTCATTATTGCTGAGTCAACAATGCATCTTCACCTGTTGGTCACTTACCTGATGTAACAGCTACCTCTGCTGGTAGCAACAGTACTTTCGTCATACTCACTCTAACTATTTATTTTTATATAAATGTTTTATTTTATTTAACTTAATATTTGATTGGATATTTTTACTTTAAATTCTAATGTTTATTTAAATATATGTTTACAATGTTTGCCCTTACTTTAACTTCTTATGTTAAGATACACAATTTATTTGATTTGATATTTTTATGGCAAATTCTTAGTTTATCTGTTATGTTTTTATTTTATATATATATATTTAAAATTTTAAATTCCTATGTTTATAGAAATATCTACGGAAGAGGATTAGGGCCACATACATTTTTTTTTTGAGGATTTGAAAAAAAAAAGTTTTTTTTTGTTCTGAGAAAAAAGTCAGAATTCTGACTTTTTTCTCAGAATTCTGACTTTTTTCTCAGAATTCTGACTTTTTTCTCCCAAAATTATTATTTTTTTGTTCTGAGGAAAAAGTCAGAATTCTGAACAAAAAAAACAACTTTTTTTTTTCAAATCCTCAAAAAAAAAAGTACGTGGCCCTAATCCTCTTCCGTAAATATCTCATACTAATTATTATTTTTTCTTCCTTTAACTATTATTTTATATTAATAATTCATACTTTTTTTGTTTGAAATATATTGGGTCTTTGACACTTTTACTTAAAATTATTATGTATATATAAATATATTATTCTATTTTATTTAATATTTTTTATTCACATATTCTTTATTTTACTGTTTTATTTTATTTGATCATTTATTGCAATTATTTTATTTAACTTGTAAGTTTAGTTCATTTGATCTTTTATTGGACATTTTAAGTTAACATTTTTATTGCATATTCTTACTTATTTGTATTTGAATAATGAATTATGTTTTATTTATTTGATCTTTTACTGCACATTCTAACTTTAACTTCTTCTTAACTTAATTTAGTTCATTAAATGTAACTGTGGACCATCATTTTAGATTGAAGCCAAACCCGATTTCCCCCAGAATGACTTTAATTAGATTATTGATAAGTTATTCTCCCTGCAGACTCGTGTGCTGAGAGTCCGTGTCTCAACGGAGGAACTTGTGTTGACGGTGAACCAACGATCTGCATCTGTTTACCCGGTTACCATGGAGACCTCTGCCAGACAGGTGCAGTGATTTATACACATGGAGACCCTCAATCAGAGGGAGAGAAGTACTCAGGTCTTGTACTTGAAGTAAAGTAGAAATACTCAGATCCTTGTACTTGAAGTTAAAAGTAGAAATACTTCAGATCTTTTACTTGAGTAAAAGTAGAAGTACTCAGACCTTTACTTGAGTAAAAGTAGAAGTACTCAGACCTTTACTTGAGTAAAAGTAGAAGTACTCAGATCTTGTACTTGAGTAAAAGTAGAAGTACTCAGATCTGTACTTGAGTAAAAGTAGAAGTACTCAGATCTTGTACTTGAGTAAAAGTAGAAGTACTCAGATCTTGTACTTGAGTAAAAGTAGAAGTACTCAGATATTGTACTTGAGTAAATAGAAGTACTCAGATCTTGTACTAGTAAAAGTAGAAGTACTCAGATCTTGTACTTGAGTAAAAGTAGAAGTACTCAGATCTTGTACTTGAGTACAAGTAGAAGTACTCAGATCTGGTACTTGAGTAAGTAGAAGTACTCAGATCTTGTACTTGAGTAAAAGTAGAAGTACTCAGATCTTGTACTTGAGTAAAAGTAGAAGTACTCAGATCTTGTACTTGAGTAAAAGTAGAAGTACTCAGATCTTGTACTTGAGTAAAAGTAGAAGTACTCAGATCTTGTACTTGAGTAAAAGTAGAAGTACTCAGATCTTGTACTTGAGTAAAAGTAGAAGTACTCAGATCTTGTACTTGAGTAAAAGTAGAAGTACTCAGATCTTGTACTTGAGTAAAAGTAGAAGTACTCAGATCTTGTACTTGAGTAAAAGTAGAAGTACTCAGATCTTGTACTTGAGTAAAAGTAGAAGTACTCAGATCTTGTACTTGAGTAAAAGTAGAAGTACTCAGATCTTGTACTTGAGTAAAAGTAGAAGTACTCAGATCTTGTACTTGAGTAAAAGTAGAAGTACTCAGATCTTGTACTTGAGTAAAAGTAGAAGTACTCAGATCTTGTACTTGAGTAAAATAGAAGTACTCAGATCTTGTACTTGAGTAAAAGTAGAAGTACTCAGATCTTGTACTTGAGTAAAAGTAGAAGTACTCAGATCTTGTACTTGAGTAAAAGTAGAAGTACTCAGATCTTGTACTTGAGTAAAAGTAGAAGTACTCAGATCTTGTACTTGAGTAAAAGTAGAAGTACTCAGATCTTGTACTTGAGTAAAAGTAGAAGTACTCAGATCTTGTACTTGAGTAAAAGTAGAAGTACTCAGATCTTGTACTTGAGTAAAAGTAGAAGTACTCAGATCTTGTACTTGAGTAAAAGTAGAAGTACTCAGATCTTGTACTTGAGTAAAAGTAGAAGTACTCAGATCTTGTACTTGAGTAAAAGTAGAAGTACTCAGATCTTGTACTTGAGTAAAAGTAGAAGTACTCAGATCTTGTACTTGAGTAAAAGTAGAAGTACTCAGATCTTGTACTTGAGTAAAAGTAGAAGTACTCAGATCTTGTACTTGAGTAAAAGTAGAAGTACTCAGATCTTGTACTTGAGTAAAAGTAGAAGTACTCAGATCTTGTACTTGAGTAAAAGTAGAAGTACTCAGATCTTGTACTTGAGTAAAAGTAGAAGTACTCAGATCTTGTACTTGAGTAAAAGTAGAAGTACTCAGATCTTGTACTTGAGTAAAAGTGGAAGTACTCAGATCTTGTTCTTGAGTAAAAGTATAAGTACTCAGATCTTGTTCTTGAGTAAAAGTAGAAGTACTCAGATCTTGTACTTGAGTAAAAGTAGAAGTACCAGAGTGTAGGAATACTCTGTTACAGTAAAAGTCCTGCATTCAAAATGTTACTCAAGTGAAAGTACAAAAGTATTCTCATCAAAATATAGTGAAAGTATCGACAGTGAAAGTAGTCGTTGTGCAGATTGGTCCATTTCAGAATAATATATATGATATGTTTTATAATGATTGATCATGAAAGTGTTCTCAAAGCTGGTAAAGGTGCAGCTAGTCTGAATGACTTTGTATACTGCAGGGTAGCTGGTGGATTTACTCCAGGTGGAACTAAAGTCTGATTCAACACTTGATTAGATTTCACATCAGTCATCCTGATCTGTGAAGTAACTAAAGGTATTAAATACATGTAGTGGAGGAAAAGTACTAAGTAGCAAAACATGGAAATACTCAATTAAAACACAAGTACCCCCCCCCCCTCCTACGTGTTGACCCTCTGATGCTGCTCCTGTCTTCAGACGTGGAGCTGTGTGAGGCCGGCTGGCAGAAGTTCCAGAGCTTCTGTTACCGACACTTTGTGAAGAGGCAGAGCTGGGAGGCGGCGGAGCAGCACTGCCGCATGTGTGGAGGACACCTGCTGTCAGTCATGACCCCCGAGGAGCAGCTGCACATCAACGGTACACTAACACAATATTACTATTCACCGGCTTGAGCTTCAATATCAGGATCCATGTATTTATTATCCTCTCAAGAATAGAATGGACTTTTTCTCAATATTTCAAAATTCTGACTTTTCCTCAAAATTCGATTTTTCCTCAAAATTCTGACTTTTTCTCAAAATCTCAAAATATTTCTCAAAATTCTGACTTTCTCTGAATACTTAAAAACGCTAATAATCTCACTGGTCCCCGGCTTGAGCTTCAACCTCTGGATCCATGTATCTGTGATCCTCTCCAGAATGGAAGGAGTCATCACATACAGAGCATCAACTAGTTCCTGAACAGTGTCCTTCACATGCTGATATCCAAGAGAGGGAGTTACACAGTCACAAGATGGAGGAATAGAAAGCAGTATTCAATGTTTACTTCAGATTAGCTCCACGTCAGAAATGAGCATGCTTGATGTCTCTCTCCATAGAGGCTGAATCATCATGTTAATCACATCTATCATATGCCTCAAACAGTCCTGATGCTCTTCTAGGTAATCACACATCCTGTCATGTTCACAGCTACAGTTGGGATACCTTTGTTATCACGTTACTCTCATGTTGGAAGAGGACATTCAGTAATGAGTGCTAATTGGTTTCTTTCTTAAATTAAAGTGAATATCTGTCAGGTTTTCATGGCAACACAAAACCTTTTTCAATGCAATGCCTGGAATTTCAAGACACTAGGATGCACATTTTTCACTATTTCCTTTACACTTTATAAACCGTTAATCAATTAAACCCAAATAATAATCTGCAGATTAATCTTGAATGAAAATGTTTATTCGGTGCAGCCATAGAACATGTTTTCTTACAGCAGATATCATCAAACTGATCTTTGGTGCTTCGTATTCAGACGAAATCCAAAGAGAAGTTTTCCCATCTCTCAGATCTGTCCAGACAAAACAACAGCCTTTCACGTCTTCCCTTTTATTGAATCCGTTTTTCCACAGAAAATGTTATGGTTTTTTTCTTACTTGGTGTTTGGTCTGAGGAAGAGCAGCTGAGATATTAATCTGACATTCCTCTGGTGGTTTATGTTTAACTCTGCGGGGATTTACCGGGAAGAGAACAGACTTCAACTCGGGAAGAGAAGCAAGTGTAAAGAGTCGTGTTCATCAAAACAACGTTAGAAGAACCTCGAAAGCACAGAGGCTTTTTGAGCTAATTCCAAAACGAATAACTAGAAGAGAAATAGCAGAATATTCAGTCGATGTACGTATATTTCACACACAGCATTTTACAGGTATTTCTGTCTTGATTTGATCTCATATCTATTCTTAGATTTCATTTGGAGCTGGGCTTGTTTAATCCTGCTATATCCGAGGATTTGTTTATGATGTTAACCTGAGAAAATTAGCTAAATGAAGGCCTATAAACTAAGATGCATATGATCATTAATGTAAGATAATTAAATCTACATGATAACATCAATACTAGGGCCCCGTCCACACGGAGACGAAACGGGTGTTATCCGCTATAGTTCTTTATCGTTCTTTATCGTATGGACGGTTCGTCCACACGAGGCCGTAAAGGAACGGCGGAAACGGAGCCCTCAAACGATAACGCATCCCAAAGTGGGAAGGTCTGGTAATGTAACGCTTGTGGCACCGTGTGTACGCCCTAAACGATCATAGCCCCGCCTCTCCCCACCTCTCCTGCTCACCCTGCGTCATTGCTGATGCGTTTTCGACAACAAAAATGGCGGATCACAGGGTTGCGTTCGTGCTCCAGACGCTACTGACCATGCTACAGATGTTAGTGCAAAATCTACAGCTCCTCGACCACAACCATCAGCAACAAGTGGACATGGAGAACTACATGAACTACATGTTGCTAAATCCACCGCGGAGAATAACCAGAAGGGCAACCATGGCAACCATGCTCGGGGGGTCTTCTTCGCTGCTTTTGGTGTATTTTGTGGCCCGGCATATGTACTACAGCATCTTCAGCAGGTCGAGCGGTCTCGTGTGGACGGACACGTTTCTTGAGCCGATTCCGTGTGGATGGAAGACTTTTTTGATATTCGATTCGTTTTCATTTTCGTCTCCGTGTGGCCGGGGGCCTAAGTGAGCATGAGCAAATGACATACAAGCAAAAAAGCTAACATAATTAGCATTTCAGGCTAACGTTTGCTAGCATCAGAATCAGAATCAGGTTTATTGCCAGGTACGTTTACACATACGAGGGATTTGCTTTGGTATCTGGTGGTGCAAACATAAACAAACAAAAACAAGCAAGTTGCAAAGTAGGTAAAAAAATAAAATATATGGATTATAAGTATTTTAAGAAACAATTTAGCATTAAAAAAGTATTTACACCAAATGTTTATTTAACTACACAAATAACCTTAAAAGCTAAAAAACTAAAACACTTACGGCCCGTCCACACAGTTGAAGCTTCAACGCTTCTGCCGAACTGCATTGTGGGAGCATCGCTATGCGTTGCTCGCTGCAAAAGTTGAGCAATGTTCAACTTCTGAAGCTTCGACGGAAGCGTCAGCCAATCAAATCATATGCCAGTACAAGCTCTAGCCAATCAAACCGCCCTTGTGTCCGGGGCGGGAGATTTATGTGATTGGTTGTTGGTCGAGTTTCAGACACGCCCACCTGCAAGCTTCAACGCACGCCGCTGTGTGGACGGGCCGTTAGGACAGGGGTGTCAAACTCAAATACACAGTGGGCCAAAATAAAAAAATCGGTACTGGTTCAATGTTTATTTCAAAACGTATTGGAATGAACTTATTGCACATATTAAACCTGGAACTAACAAAGCTTAAATTATTGCCTATAAAAACAACATTAAATCAGTTGCATTCATTTCTTATGGCTCTATCTGCAGCTTTTCCAGAGTCATTTCTTATGAGTACATTTTCCCACAGGCCAACAGCAGCTTCAACAAAACTATTTCCCTCAAAGAGAAAACCAAACATGCCCTGTTGTCGTGAGAGAGAAAGTGCAGAAGGAAGCATCCATTAAACTCAGTGTGCTGCTCTGTGATGCTAGCTCAGATACTTGGCATCTCATCTCGGGTGCAAGGTCATCAATGTTTGGGCTCAGGCTCTGAGCTGAGGAGACCCTCAGGATGGAGTGAAGGTGTGCTGCAATATACCGGAGGGCCAGATCTAATAGTAATTAGAAATTATCCTGCGGGCCGAAATTAAATCCACCAAGGGCCTGATTTGGCCCCCGGGCCTTGAGTTTGACACATGTGACTTAGGACAATGAGTATACGACAAACTACAGTGGTTTATATTTTAGAGTGGAGTCGAGTGCAGAAATGTGCAAAAAGCAGAGAGTCGAGCATACTTCTGTTGACAGATATTAAAGAGGCCCTATTATCAATGTTTCACCTCTGACCTTCCATATATAGTTATTTTGTCCTTAAGTAAGAAGGCACTATGTAGAAAGGTGCTTTATACATTTACTTTCAAATACTTAACACCATTCATAAAATACCACGTACAGTTACAGTGCATTAACCCTTCTTTTTCTTTTCTCCTCACAATCTTTTTTTATTTTTCAGAGAGAGACAAAGAGTACCAGTGGATCGGACTGAACGACCGAACCATCGAGGGAGACTTCCGCTGGTCGGACGGGAACCCTCTGGTACTTCTGTCTGTTCTATAGGTTTCAGTGCACGTAAATGGTCTGCAAAGGTTAAAATCCCTGTGAAACATGTCCCAGTAGAGGCGCTAAATCAGGGGTGTCCAAACATACAGAAACTATATGAAGGACTGGGCCACTCACTAGAGGTATAGCACCTCATGAGTTCAGTTATAAGTTAGCAAAATCAATCAAATGTAGGTACATGAGGCTTGTGAGTGTTGACTGCTCATCCCTTAACCCTTAGATGTGGGTATGTTTTGACCCGGTGAGGTGGTTTTCTTAGAGTATCTTTGTAATTACATTTTTTTATCATTTCATATTCCAGCTATTCCTCAAAAAACATGTTTTGGATATCATGCCATTCAAATTTTTAATTTACATTTGAAGAAATTGTAGTTTTTGTATCACTACCCCAAGTGGGTCAAAAATGACCCACATGCATTTTCTATGGAATTTCGTTTTTTTTTCAAAATGTAAAATAAATGTCTAAAATTATAAATCGGGAAAAATTAAATATAAAATATTTCTAGTGTGAACCAAAATATAATACTAAATATTCTAAAAGTGATTTTTCTTAACCAAAATGACAAAAATGGCATAAAAACACATTATTCTAATACGGGTCCTTTTTGACCCACTTATGGAAGAGTGTAGGCTCCAGTCACTCGGGCATCTAAGGGTTAAAACAGAAGCTTGATTGATTATAATAAGGAGAAATAGGAAGGGTGTATTTCAAGCTTGATATGTAAACCAGTCATTTCTTATCGACTAAGATATGCTAAAAAATATTTCCAACTTTAACTGACTGAATTTATTTGAAAAGTGGTCTCATTAACACATGAATGCTACTTTGTAATATATGTTTACATTTATATTTAAGAAGTACAATATAAGACAAGCACAAGTTTCATTTGTGGGCCGTACTCCATTATACTTTTTGAATTAGCTGAAGGCCGATTATAGCGGCACAAACTCCCTATGAGTTAGCCGCTGAGAGGCTAAAAAGTGCTCTTTGCTGTGACGCGTTCCGTGTAAGAGTCCGTAGTCATTTGGAGTCCATGGTGTTTAATAAAAACAAACAATCTACAACTCCAGACCACACGGTCAACAGAAAGTATCTGAGCAATTCTTCCTACATCATATCCTCCAAACCGGCATCCAGCAGGTGACTAAGTACCAATAAACCACACCCACGTGGCCATTGCTGGAAGTGATAAACAATAAGAATTAAACGTGATGCAAACTGAAATGAAGATAATAATAGAAGTAATAAGTAATGGCAAAACAAGCATTTTGGCTCCTGCACCGATTCAAAATGGCCCCCGGGCCGTAGATTGGACACCCCGGCACTAAATACTAATATGAACCTGAGCATTAGCTTAATAGGGCCCCTTTAAATGTAATATGAACGCTTTTAATGTTTTCTTCTGAATTACCGAGTTGAATTAACATTAACTACGCCCCAAAGCCATGGAACAAAATACCTATTATATATATATTTTAATTATATACAGACATCAGGGAAGCCAGCTCGGTGGAAGTCTTTAATAAAACACTCAAAACTCATTTGTACAATTGAGCCGTTTAGGAAGCTCCTGCTCTCTGCTGCACTTCAACCTGTCATCTGATTGAATTTGCACTATCCTCCTTTTAATTCACAATTTCATCGTTTAATCTAAATGTATTTTTTATCTACTCTATCCTGTTGTTTTGTTTGTTTCTGTCTTTTACTGGTAACTGTATTCTGTGTGATATCAATGTTCAGTGAAATGTGAAGCACTTTGGACTGCACTTATTGTATGAAAGGTGCTATTCAAAGAGTATTATTATTATTATTTAGAGTAGTGTTGTCACGATCCCAATATTTTGGTTTCGATACCAAGTCAAGAATTGCGATTCCGATTATTTTCGATACTTTTCGTAAAACACGGGAAACAGTCTTAAATGTAATTATTGTGCTTTATTTCACACCAGAACCATAACACAAACTTTTAAACAATGAGAACAATAAATAAAATAAAGGACAATAATTCGTATTAGTACACCGTGCAACACTAATTCAGAGGCACAAAGAAAACCTCAAATACACCTGAAAATGAGCAGAATATTCAATCCTGAATGCAGGCCTTTAACTCAGAGTTTTTTTACAACGTGGTAATCTTCCCTGAGGAAAGCAAAAGTACTTCTTTCTGATTTGTTGAGTTCATTATTTATTATTTTCCTCAGCTGTATGAGAACTGGTTCGCGGGTCAGCCCGACAGCTACTTCCTGTCCGGGGAGGATTGCGTGGTGATGGTGTGGCACGACGGCGGCCGCTGGAGCGACGTTCCCTGCAACTACCACCTGTCCTACACCTGCAAGAAGAGCGCCTGTGAGTCGCCTTAAAATACTGTGGACAACAAACAATGGCTCCCAAAAGAGGAGCGCTTCTGCCCAAGAAGACAAGTAGAAACCCCAAATGTAGTTACTGAGCCACTGAGGTGGGAAGTAGTACAAATACTTCAAAGTCAACTTTATTGTCAATCTTTCAGTTTGTGACCGAGAGATCGAAATAACGTTTCACACAATCACAAAAACAAATACATATAAACATATGTATGCAAATATGAATATACACAATCAAAAAATAAATGTATACATGTGCACGCATTAGGCCTAATTAAAAGCACAACAATCAATAGATACAAAATAACAGTCACTTCAATATCTTTGAGAAATGTATATTAGTTCAAGCAGCGTAAAAAAGTGTCTGGTGCTGGATTTGAGCGTCTGTGTGTGTGGGGAGTTAAAGTCCATACACACACACACACACACACACCACACACACACACACACACACACACACACACACACACACACACACACACACACACACACACACACACACAGAACAGCAAGTACTAAAGTTGAACCCAAATACCTGTACTTTCTACTTCTTACATGTTGAACTCAAATACCTGTACTTTCTACTTCTTACATGTTGAACTCAAATACCTGTACTTTCTACTTCTTACATGTTGAACTCAAATACCTGTACTTTCTACTTCTTACATGTTGAACCCAAATACCTGTACTTTCTACTTCTTACATGTTGTACTCAAATACCTGTACTTTCTACTTCTTACATGTTGAACTCAAATACCTGTACTTTCTACTTCTTACATGTTGTACTCAAATACCTGTACTTTCTACTTCTTACATGTTGAACTCAAATACCTGTACTTTCTACTTCTTACATGTTGAACTCAAATACCTGTACTTTCTACTTCTTACATTTTGAACTCAAATACCTGTACTTTCTACTTCTTACATGTTGAACTCAAATACCTGTACTTTCTACTTCTTACATGTTGAACACAAATACCTGTACTTTCTACTTCTTACATGTTGTACTCAAATACCTGTACTTTCTACTTCTTACATGTTGAACTCAAATACCTGTACTTTCTACTTCTTACATGTTGAACTCAAATACCTGTACTTTCTACTTCTTACATGTTGAACACAAATACCTGTACTTTCTACTTCTTACATGTTGAACTCAAATACCTGTACTTTCTACTTCTTACATGTTGAACTCAAATACCTGTACTTTCTACTTCTTACATGTTGAACTCAAATACCTGTACTTTCTACTTCTTACATGTTGAACTCAAATACCTGTACTTTCTACTTCTCTCATTTTCCAAACAGCTGGTTCCTTTAGTCTGAATGTGTGTTTGATGAGTGATCATTATTCTTTAGAGTCATTGCGTGCCTATTGATTTGAACACGATCCGTGTATCCATCATTTCCTGGTCTTCTCTAAAGAAGAGGGACCAATGGAAACGTTGTCATGTTGCCGTTGTTCAGCATGGAAACATTCATTAGCTAACAATTACATTATTGTTCTATTAATATAAAGGGAGGTCAGGTACTCTTTAAAACAGCTGCTAGTTATGGGTACTTTTTACTGAAGTACATTTCAAAGCCTCTTTACTTTTACTTGAGTAAAGAAGTTTAGTCAGTACTTCTACTTTCACCAGAGTATTTTTAAACACGAGTATCTGTACTTCTACTTCAGTAGAGGATGTGTGTACTTCTACTTGAGTAAAGGATGTGTGTACTTCTACTTGAGTAAAGGATGTGTGTACTTCTACTTGAGTAAAGGATGTGTGTACTTTGCTAAGGATGTTTCTACTTGAGTAAAGGATGTGTGGACTTCTACTTGAGTAAAGGATGTGTGTACTTCTACTTGAGTAAAGGATGTGTGGACTTCTACTTGAGTAAAGGATGTGTGTACTTCTGCTTGAGTAAAGGATGTGTGTACTTCTACTTGAGTAAAGGATGTGTGGACTTCTACTTGAGTAAAGGATGTGTGTACTTCTACTTGAGTAAAGGATGTGTGTACTTCTGCCCTCTCTGCTGAGCCACCTACCCATGTTTCTCTCTGTCAGCGTCCTGTGGCGAACCGCCCAGAGTTCCCGGTGCTAAGGTGTTCGGGAAGAAGCGTTTGCGTTTCGAGACGAACTCCAGAGTGCGGTACTACTGTGAGGACGGCTTCCTGCAGAAACTCAACCCCGTGATCAGCTGTCTGCCCAGCGGCCAATGGGAGGAGCCGATGATCACCTGCATCCAAGGTAAGTGCAATACCTTCAATATATCTTTAGTTGGTTTTCAACACAAACAGTCACATATTGATAACATCAATTAAGAAGTATACTTTTTTGAGGAGGATTTGCTGTAAACTGCAAAAGTAGAACACTTGTCAAAATGACCAAAACTAAAACATGATCTCATATAAATCACTGGGAAAACAACTTTAATCTTATGTTCCTCTAGCACAAAATGATCTACAATAACTATACCACACATTTGATGGCATGGCTCTTCAATGACATCCTTTTTTTAACATAACATCACAATCACTGTAGATGGTATGTTCAAGACCCTCTAGCTTTTTGTAGAGGGAACCAGGGAGATGCTGCCTTCAGGGTCCAACACAGAAATACGAAATCCCTGCACCACTCTAACAATGCTAAATCAGTGGAGTATTCTTTTAAAGGTCACCTAGTATACAACATCCACTTATATTCCGGCGAGAGTGCGGAAAACTTAAATGTATTTATTTATTTCAAATGTGAAATTTTACCAATATACTCCCGGACCACACTTTGAGAAGCTCTGTGGAAAGAGACTCTGAAAGTTTCAGTTTTTTTGTCCTGATCCATTTCTATAAAAACTTGTCTGAAAATGAGCTGATCAGATTTCGGCCACTTTATGATGTCATAACGATGTTTTGTCTGTGTAACCATTAGCCAATCAGCAACCAAGGTAATCCCCCCCCCCCCCCCTTATCACCTGAATCTCCTCTAGAGCACCATTGAGTTCTTTGTAACCAAATGTCTCTCAGAGGGGCGTGGGGAGGGGCTCCTTATTTTCATCTAAAGTAACAGACACAGAATCAGCACTTTGGAAACAGGGCTGAAACAGAGGGGATTATGGGTAATGCTGCAATGATCTGTTTGGTGTTTCAGCCAATCAGAGACAGTATATATCTGAGACCTGGGATATATTGATGAAAAACAGTATAATAGGAGACCTTTAGGACATTGGGATCGTTTTCAGAACAGTTTCGGGAGCCCAGGATTATTTGGTTTATCTTTGTGTTCCTCCCTCCTAATGTACAATGCCATGTCTTTTTCTGCTGCTGCAACGCAAACATTTCTTATCTTATCTTATCCAGCCCCTTCAAAGGAAGAAGACCCAGTGACATCACTTCCTGTGCGGCGTGAGGAGGTCACGGAGGTCACGGAGGTCACGGAGGTCCAGGAAACAGTCACAGAGAAACCTGTGTGGCTCTTCTAGGACATCAAGTGGGTCGACTGAAGCCTTTGAAAAAATCTTCTTTTCCATATTTTATTTGTTCCTTAAAAGTCAATGTTCTGCATTAAAGTTAAACTGTATAAATCTAATCTTTAATATTAAAATCATTTCGACGCCACCTGGAAAAGCTGTAATCCAAATGTGTGTTTTTCTGTAAAATCGAAATACTTTTGGTAAATTACGCAAACGAAACCTTAAGAACAACCCCGAGCTAAAATGCTAATGTATCTGTGCACAGGTGACATCTTTCTAAACACTCTCCACGTCTTTTGGTGCTTTGTATTTCTCTGTTTGCCAAAATGAACCGTCAGTATGACGAGAGTTTAATTTAAAATGTGTAAATATGATCTACACAAAGACGCACATTTTGGGGATCAATTAAGTAAAAAGTATTTCAATGATGCAACGACATCTTATGTACCGTCTCTTTTCTAGTTTGTAGTACTGTAATATACTTGTAACAATGCAGGTGGTGTTAATTGTTTATCTAATTAACGTAATAAATGTATAAGTATAATATAGTAAACATGAATACGATTAAAAAGTAGAAATAAAATGGATTTTTTACTGTTGAAAATGTCTTTTGATTAAATGTTTGTTAAAATCTCTTCTGTATTATCTTGATCACATGACTGCTGTCTGATCCGATCTACAAAGGTTCAAATGATCGCCCATTAGTTATTCAGTTCATTTAGATTATACTCAAAATAAGTTCCTGCTCTTTAAAACGTCCAAACATCAAACATCTGAATCTTACACCTGAGTTTATCTTTTGTATTATTTGTGTTTCAGGTACATTTGACTTAAGACTTTTCATCACATCTGATTTTGACTATTTGAGAAGTAAAGTAAGTCCATATGGAGTTAACTGTTCACATTAGTTGTTTTTTTATACAACCACAAGAGGTCGCCAAACAAGTAAAGTTACAATTATAACACACAGGCTTCAAACGTTTCTTCCATGCCCTCATTATAAGCAATAACTAAAGATGTAACCATGAAGCAGGAGAGGACTCTTTAAAGTAGAGACACTACATACTGATATACACCCTGAACATCAGCAGGAGAGGACTCTTTAAAGTAGAGACACTACATACTGATATACACCTGAACATCAGCAGGAGAGGACTCTTTAAAGTAGAGACACTACATACTGATATACACCTGAACATCAGCAGGAGAGGACTCTTTAAAGTAGAGACACTACATACTGATATACACCTGAACATCAGCAGGAGAGGACTCTTTAAAGTAGAGACACTACATACTGATCAACACCTGAACATCAGCAGGAGAGGACTCTTTAAAGTAGAGACACTACATACTGATATACACCTGAACATCAGCAGGAGAGGACTCTTTAAAGTAGAGACACTACATACTGATAAACACCTGAACATCAGCAGGAGAGGACTCTTTAAAGTAGAGACACTACATACTGATATACACCTGAACATCAGCAGGAGAGGACTCTTTAAAGTAGAGACACTACATACTGATATACACCTGAACATCAGCAGGAGAGGACTCTTTAAAGTAGAGACACTACATACTGATATACACCTGAACATCAGCAGGAGAGGACTCTTTAAAGTAGAGACACTACATACTGATATACACCTGAACATCAGCAGGAGAGGACTCTTTAAAGTAGAGACACTACATACTGATCACACCTGAACATCAGCAGGAGAGGACTCTTTAAAGTAGAGACACTACATACTGATATACACCTGAACATCAGCAGGAGAGGACTCTTTAAAGTAGAGACACTACATACTGATAAACACCTGAACATCAGCAGGAGAGGACTCTTTAAAGTAGAGACACTACATACTTATATACACCTGAACATCAGCAGGAGAGGACTCTTTAAAGTAGAGACACTACATACTGATATACACCTGAACATCAGCAGGAGAGGACTCTTTAAAGTAGAGACACTACATACTGATATACACCTGAACATCAGCAGGAGAGGACTCTTTAAAGTAGAGACACTACATACTGATATACACCTGGACATCAGCAGGAGAGGACTCTTTAAAGTAGAGACACTACATACTGATATACACCTGGACATCAGCAGGAGAGGACTCTTTAAAGTAGAGACACTACATACTGATATACACCTGAACATCAGCAGGAGAGGACTCTTTAAAGTAGAGACACTACATACTGATATACATCTGAACATCAGCAGGAGAGGACTCTTTAAAGTAGAGACACTACATACTGATATACACCTGAACATCAGCAGGAGAGGACTCTTTAAAGTAGAGACACTACATACTGATATACACCTGAACATCAGCAGGAGAGGACTCTTTAAAGTAGAGACACTACATACTGATATACACCTGAACATCAGCAGGAGAGGACTCTTTAAAGTAGAGACACTACATACTGATATACACCTGAACATCAGCAGGAGATGACTCTTTAAAGTAGAGACACTACATACTGATATACACCTGGACATCAGCAGGAGAGGACTCTTTAAAGTAGAGACACTACATACTGATATACACCTGGACATCAGCAGGAGAGGACTCTTTAAAGTAGAGACACTACATACTGATATACACCTGAACATCAGCAGGAGAGGACTCTTTAAAGTAGAGACACTACATACTGATATACACCTGAACATCAGCAGGAGAGAACTCTTTAAAGTAGAGACACTACATACTGATAAACACCTGAACATCAGCAGGAGAGGACTCTTTAAAGTAGAGACACTACATACTGATATACACCTGAACATCAGCAGGAGAGGACTCTTTAAAGTAGAGACACTACATGCTGATATACACCTGAACATCAGCAGGAGAGGACTCTTTAAAGTAGAGACACTACATACTGATATACACCTGAACATCAGCAGGAGAGGACTCTTTAAAGTAGAGACACTACATACTGATATACACCTGGACATCAGCAGGAGAGGACTCTTTAAAGTAGAGACACTACATACTGATATACACCTAGACATCAGCAGGAGAGGACTCTTTAAAGTAGAGACACTACATACTGATATACACCGGACATCAGCAGGAGAGGACTCTTTAAAGTAGAGACACTACATACTGATATACACCTGAACATCAGCAGGAGAGGACTCTTTAAAGTAGAGACACTACATACTGATATACATCTGAACATCAGCAGGAGAGGACTCTTTAAAGTAGAGACACTACTACATACTGATATACACCTGAACATCAGCAGGAGAGGACTCTTTAAAGTAGAGACACTACATACTGATATACACCTGAACATCAGCAGAGAGGACTCTTTAAAGTAGAGACACTACATACTGATATACACCTGAACATCAGCAGGAGAGGACTCTTTAAAGTAGAGACACTACATACTGATATACACCTGAACATCAGCAGGAGAGGACTCTTTAAAATAGAGACACTACATACTGATATACACCTGAACATCAGCAGGAGATGACTCTTTAAAGTAGAGACACTACATACTGATATACACCTGGACATCAGCAGGAGAGGACTCTTTAAAGTAGAGACACTACATACTGATATACACCTGGACATCAGCAGGAGAGGACTCTTTAAAGTAGAGACACTACATACTGATATACACCTGAACATCAGCAGGAGAGGACTCTTTAAAGTAGAGACACTACATACTGATATACACCTGAACATCAGCAGGAGAGAACTCTTTAAAGTAGAGACACTACATACTGATAAACACCTGAACATCAGCAGGAGAGGACTCTTTAAAGTAGAGACACTACATACTGATATACACCTGAACATCAGCAGGAGAGGACTCTTTAAAGTAGAGACACTACATGCTGATATAAACCTGGAAATGAGCGAAATATGTCCTCTTTAAATATTGTAAAATATGGGCAAATGAATATGCTGACAATTGGACATATCTTTATTGAATACATTAAATAACATGTAATTAATTTACAGATAAACCGCGTTACATCCTGTTATTTACAGTTCAGTTTTAGCTTCTTTGCTGGAGCTTGCAGGAAGCAGTTTGGTGTCATGTTACATGGACAAACATTTTAAGTAAATGCAAATGTTCACCTCGCTTAACTTGACTTTCCTTGACGCTCTGAAACATTATTGTGCATAGCTATATTTGTATTCCATTTACCATATTCTGCAAGTGCGTTGGGAAGCCAGAGTGGTTTGTGGTTCCATAAATATACGATTGTTTTACTTACCAATTATTTATTTTATGATAATTGATTTTGACAACAACATTTCCCTCGCAGCAAAAGTAATAGCATCCAGGAAAACACAATGTGTCTGCATAACTCAGTTTGACATGAGTTGTGTTTTAATCAAATTGACCTCAAAAGCTCCATCAACGGTTGTTCAACCAAACCGTTTGGTTTTCATTTGATTGAAAAATAAGATCTTTATGCCCTTTTTGTTGTTCACTTTAAGAGATGTTAAGGTCAGGAGGGCACATCTGAAACATCCTGAAAAAAAGAAGTGTTTTTTATAAATACTTCAATGTACCTTTGGAGATGGATATGAACCAAACCAACTTTCATGTAAGTGGGGCTTTCTGTACGGTGGCCGACAGGTGCAAACACAGCCCAAAACATTTCCATTAGGTTTTACAAACTTGAGGAAACATGTGCAGCTTTTAATTTAACATTAAAAGCTTAAACGCTGCAAGAATCTCAAAACACAACGGAAACCAGGGGACACTAAAAAGCGACGCACACAGCGCTTGGTGACGTTCAGGATTATAAAGCTGGACAACTGTCTCTGTTGTTGGAAACATACCTAAACAAATGTTTTATGGACCTATTTTAACAATGTGATCACATGACTCCTTCTGATGTTACTGCAGATCTGCTGTAAGCTACATAGCTAACGTAGCTAACTTAGTCCTTTCAGATATACTGACAAACAATAACAGTTATGAGACGACTAACTCTGCAGACAGTTGTCCATCTTTATAATCTCCTAAGTGGAAGTGGAAGTGTTTTGGTTTGTTGTAGCACCGGCCAACATACTTAAAAAGAAAATTCAACTAGATTAAATAATGACTTTTTCATTTTTAAAGACATTAACATTTGAATTCAACCTCATATTTCTCCATTACTGTCCGTATCATCGTAGCTGAGATCTTTCTCAGGACTTTTCGTTGGCAGATCAACTTGTTTATGCTTAGCAGTGAATTCTGGGATATGTTTTCCTGCTTAAACTGGATCTCTAAGTTGCCCTGCTGTCGAATTTCTTCTTATTTTCGGGCTACATGTAGCAATAGGCGCCAAACAGAGGCTTCATCTTGTTGGGGAATCCAAACGAGCGCACCCCGGCTTCAGGGATTCCTCCGCAGAGTTCCCGGGGGTTGCTGATGGGAAACCGTACGCTGCCGTCTCTCAGCCATCCGCCGTCACACTGGTCGTAGTTTTGGAAACGCCAGGCGGAGTAAAGATGGCCGACCAGCGCCAACTCCGCTCCCTGACGCTGACATGCGTGCCCGGCCTGTTCAAAGGAGAAAGACCCCGAGACGAAGGAGACGGAGCCTGAGAGAGGAGATAAGATAGATAGTTAGATAGATAGAGCCCCAGATTTTGGGCCCCATGAAAATATATCACATTGGGCCCCACCACCAGGCACAGGCCACGCCAACCAAGCACAATGCTGTAACCACACCTCCAGAACCCAACCCACTCATTTATGCTTTAAATAACTCTACCTGTACAGGCTTGCATCTATCTTGTAGTCCAATACTAACCGCAGAATATTTACTGACACTGAGCGGTGAACATATAACACTGTGCAGACTGCAACATTCTACTGCAGTATAATTCACTATTTGATATAACACTAACATTCCTGACAATAGACCTCAATAGTCATCTTTTATGGTGTACATGCCTTTTTAATAACATTTTTGAATGGAACATTCATACATCAAAAATAAATATAACTTAAATATGAACACTTAAATTAAAATAAAGTGAACATTAACACCAATATTATCATTTATAAAATGCTATAAAAAAAAGAACATAAGCAGAAGATTTTTTAATTAAATATACATACCAACTACAAAATAAGCGGGTATTAAAGTGTAAATGGACAACAAAACGGAAATGGAAATGAAAAGGCCTGATGGTGGTGCTAAATCAGAGCAAAACTGGGTGACATACTGTCGCCCTTTAGTCCCTCTCTCTTGTCTTTCTCTCCTTTCTTTTCTTTTTTGAAAGCCTGACTTTGTTAGTCGTTAAGACATCGTACACACGTAAGTACTAGCATCCCTGCTCACATGCTCTTACTCTGCTAGAAAATGCGGTGCCGCACAGCGTTTGGAGACGGGACCAAACCATTACATGTAAATAGAGGGGGGTGTACAGAGGCCTTGGATAATCAACTTTTCGAACAAAAATAAGTTAAATGAATCGTAAGTTTAGTGAGTACATTATCAATGTAATGTTATATTAATGTTAATTATTGATGATTGATGAAAGGTTACTTAACATTTTTTTCTTAATGTTCTACATTTTTTGGGGCCCCTGTTAGTCACGGGCCCTTAGAATCGTCCTAACTTTTCACCCCCTTACGGTGCCCCTGGATAGAAGCACCACAATGTCCATGTTCATTGGCCATTTATTTGAAAAAAATCCTGTCAACCACTTGAATTTTCGAAATTGCGGACGTCTTTTCCAGCCGAGGAAACAGTATTTTCCCACAGAATTTAACCCACTGGATCAATTTCAGGGATTTGGATATTGAATTATATGTTTTTGACTATGGGGAAATCCAATTCAATACTAATAAACTTCTTCAGAGCTTTTTTCTGTCATTTTTAACACAACTTGATAAACTGTGGGGCTTATTAGAAAGCATTTGGTACACAAAACCACACTCTACTAATACTAGTCTTCTATGTTAGCAGAATTAGTCAACCGACACCGACATTTGGTTCATTTCATGCAATTTGGTCGGATTGTGTTCTCACTGCATTGAAACACCACTCTGGTTTATTTGGAAACGGTCCAAGACCAACTCTCACAAACTGTCTCGGACCGTTTTCTTTGGTCTGCATTGATGCACAATTATTGTGTTCAAAACCACCCAAACAAGCCGCACCAGATATCAAATGAAACTAAATATTGACTTGTGAAACGCCCTTCAAAGTCCCATTTGCTTCAAGCTTTCTGTCACCAAGCCAGACAAAACCTTGATCTTTGTTGGGAAAACACTGAATGTCCTCTTCCAACATGAGAGTAACTTGATAACAAAGGTATCAACTGTAGCTGTGAACATGACAGGATGTGTGATTACCTAGAAGAGCATCAGGACTGTTTGAGGCATATGATAGCTATGTGATTAACATGATGATTCAGCCTCTATGGAGAGAGACATCAAGCATGCTCATTTCTGACGTGGAGCTAATCTGAAGTAAACATTGAATACTGCTTTCTACTCCTCCATCTTGTGACTGTGTAACTCCCTCTCTTGGATATCAGCATGTGAAGGACACTGTTCAGGAACTAGTTGATGCTCTGTATGTGATGACTCCTTCCATTCTGGAGAGGATCACAGATACATGGATCCTGAGGTTGAAGCTCAAGCCGGGGACCAGGGAGCTTTATCTAAAAATCCCAATTTGGGAAATGTTTGCGTTGCAGCAACATAAAAAGACAAGGCACTGTACATTGGAGAAATTAAAAGACTAAATAAACAATCCAAAATGTAAACGTCTCAAATAGAAATAAAATAGCATTAAAAAAGTAAAAAATATACAGTGGGGCAAAAAAGTATTTAGTCAGCCACCAATTGTGCAAGTTCTCCCACTTAAAAAGATGAGAGAGGCCTGTAATTGTCATCCTATGTACACTTCAACTATGAGAGACAGAATGGGGGGAAAGAATCCAGGAAATCACATTGTCTGATTTTTAAAGAATTTATTTGCAAATTATGGTGGAAAATAAGTATTTGGTGAATAACAAAAGTTCATCTCAATACTTTGTTATATACCCTTTGTTGGCAATGACGTTTTATGTAAGTCTTCACAAGGTTTTCACACACTGTTGCTGGTATTTTGGCCCATTCCTCCATGCAGATCTCCTCTAGAGCAGTGATGTGTTGGGGCTGTCGCTGGGCAACACGGACTTTCAACTCCCTCCAAAGATTTTCTATGGGGTTGAGATCTGGAGACTGGCAAGGCCACTCCAGGACCTTGAAATGCTTCTTACGAAGCCACTCCTTTGTTCCCCATGCGGTGTGTTTGGGATCATTGTCATGCTGAAAGACCCAGCCACGTTTCATCTTCAATGCCCTTGCTGATGGAAGGAGGTTGTCACTCAAAATCTCACGATACATGGCCCCATTCATTCTTTCCTTTACACGGATCAGTCGTCCTGGTCCCTTTGCAGAAAAACAGCCCCAAAGCATGATGTTTCCACCCCCATGTTTCACAGTAGGTATGGTGTTCTTTGGATGCAACTCAGCATTCTTTCTCCTCCAAACAGGTCTAGTTGAGTTTTTACCAAAAAGTTCTATTTTGGTTTCATCTGACCATATGACATTCTCCCAATCCTCTTCTGGATCATCGAAATGCTCTCTAGCAAACTTCAGACGGGCCTGGACATGTACTGGCTTAAGCAGGGGGACACGTCTGGCACTGCAGGATTTGAGTCCCTGGCGGCGTAGTGTGTTACTGATGGTAGCCTTTGTTACTTTGGTCCCAGCTCTCTGCAGGTCATTGACTAGGTCCCCGCGTGTGGTTCTGGGATTTTTGCTCACCGTTCTTGTGATCATTTTGACCCCACAGGGTGAGATCTTGCGTGGAGCCCCAGATCGAGGGAGATTATCAGTGGTCTTGTATGTCTTCCATTTTCTAATAATTGCTCCCACAGTTGATTTCTTCACACCAAGCTGCTTACCTATTGCAGATTCAGTCTTCCCAGCCTGGTGCAGGTCTACAATTTTGTTTCTGGTGTCCTTTGACAGCTCTTTGGTCTTGGCCATAGTGGAGTTTGGAGTGTGACTGTTTGAGGTTGTGGACAGGTGTCTTTTATACTGATAACGAGTTCAAACAGGTGCCATTAATACAGTTAACGAGTGGAGGACAGAGGAGGCTCTTAAAGAAGAAGTTACAGGTCTGTGAGAGCCAGAAATCTTGTTTGTTTGTAGGTGACCAAATACTTATTTTACCGAGGAATTTACCAATTAATTAATTAAAAATCCTACAATGTGATTTCCTGGATTCTTTCCCCCCATTCTGTCTCTCATAGTTGAAGTGTACCTAGGATGAAAATTACAGGCCTCTCTCATTTTAAGTGGGAGAACTTGCACAATTGGTGGCTGACTAAATACTTTTTTGCCCCACTGTACATATGGAAAATATTCATGTGGAAATACGTGTACAGTAACAAAATATAAGCAGGATATTATAGACATTTAACCTCTGTTCTTTCTCTCCCTTGATCCTCCGTAGCAGCAGTGTATTATCAAGTATTAAAGATTCAAAAGATTAAAAGGATTTATAGTGAAATGCACATACTGTAAGCTACAGTGTAGAAATGGCAATGAAAATCTTCTGACCTGAGCTCCTCCAAAAATAAAAATAAATAGTGCAAAAGGTCTATATACGTGTAAATAGAATATGATTATGTACAAGAACAGAATATGATATTAAATAATGTACATTAAGACAAAAGCTCAAGCCGGTGACGAGTGATATATTTGTTCTAACAATCTTCAACCACTCAAAGCTTACCAGACGTCTGCGAGGTGAAGCAGAAAGCGTCGAACCGATCCTGATTCTTATCTTTCGCTCCATAACTGCGGATGCCGGGGAGCAGCTCTCCTCCGCAGGCGGGTCGGGGCTGGATAATGGGGTAATGAACCGTGCCGTCCTGCAGCCAGCCGGCGTTACACCAGTCCAGACCCTCCGTCCACGCTGCAGGAGAACAAACACGCTGATTTACCTGCAAGTCCACATGTTACTGTGTGCAAATACAGTGAAGTCAAAGTCAACTTTATTGTCAATGTCAATCTTTCAGTTTGTGTGTACAGACGGAGAGATCGAAATACAGTTTCCCACAATCCCGAATACAAAAACAAATATATATAAAAACATGTATACAAATCAAAAGACACATTTATACATATGCCCACATTAATGCTGCGTTCACACCGGACGCGATGCACATTTTGGCGGCGGCGCGATTACATGTAAAGTCAATACAAAGACACGGACAGACGCGAATTCGCTCCGACGGCGCGCATGAAGCGGTTGATGCGATGCGAACCGCTCGAGTTAAATTTGTTCAACTCAAGCGTGAAATTCGCTTGACGCATTCGCACGGTAGCCAATCAGCGGTGAGGATCTCAGCCTGCCGTCACTGACGTTGAATCAGAAAAGCAAAACATCAGCCGTTAGCTGTTAGCACTCAGAGCTCACAGCTCTTCAAATCCGTTCAGAAACTGGACAAAAGTTAAAGAAGTTCAAACCACAGAGCTGTGTCATGGCGAATACAGTCACTGCTTTATTTCTGTCTTTAGGACGTTGTTGTGAGTGTGGACGGAGCATATACACCGTTAGCTTAGCCTGATCGATCCGATCTCAATTCAGAAAACACGCATTTCAAAATGTTTTTCGCCTGCCGACTTGTCAAAGCTTTAATTCATGATTCTTACTAACCGGTATCAGTATGTAGTTACGTCGGCATCATTTTGAAACATGTATTACAATTATATCACTGTAAAATATGTTACATGTTATATGTTGTTTGTATCTACCATAGTATTTACATGGAGATAAGCCCCGCCCCCTCGCCAGCGCGTCTTGTTTGAATGACGCGAATAAACATAGCTGACAGCCGCGGTGAAACTAGAGCGATTATATATTTGCATCGCGTCCGGTGTGATCGCACCATAATGCTGCGTTCACACCGGACGCGATGCGATTTTTGGGGGCGGCGCGATTACATGTAAAGTCAATGCAGAGATGCGGACAGACGCGAATTCGCTCCGACGGCGCGCATGAAGCGGTGGACGCGGCGCAAATCACGCCATTGAGGCGATTGAAGGGGGCCGCGTCAAACGCGAGGGTCCAATTTGTTCAACTCGGGTGTCAAATTCACATGACGCGTTCTTGCGAAAGACAATCAGCGTTGGGATTCCCTCTGACGTCCCTCTGAGGTCCTGCTGTTGATCAGTTGTGAAGATGGAAGAGATGATCGTTGTGGCTGTGAGTAGGTTCCCGGAGATTTACGATACAATGTCACCGGGACCGCAACAAAAAAGAGCTGGCTTGGAGGAGAATAAGAACCCAGAAACGGTGGCGTTTGTTGCTACGTTTGTAGGACTTCCACAGAAGGTACAAAGCAGCAATAGTTGTTGTATCCTCCATAGTCAAGGACAGAAATAACCCAAACGATAAAAGCAAAACAATCAATATAAATAACAGTCACTTCAATTTCTTTGAGGATGTACATTAGTGCAAGACTGTCCATAGCAGCGTCAAAACAAGTGTCTGGTGCTGTGGAGTCTGTGGAACAGCCTCTCAGTACAAAGCCAAACTGCTCAGTCTACTGAACTGAAAACTCACCTCTTTGGCCTTTAATACTCGTTAAACATAATATTTTGACATTTGTATGTGTTTTTACATGTTTTTAGTTGTGCTTTTTATCTTGTTTTTAATTATTGTTTTGTTATTTGATCAGAATCACAATCAGAATCAGAAACAGGTTTATCACCAGGTAGGTTGACACGTACGAGGAATTTGACTTGATGTCGTGGTGCATACATACAAGTGAAACAAAAACAACAACAAAAAGATAGAGAACTTGAAAAATATTAAAAATAATAAAAAAATATAGTAAAATATAACAGTATTTACATAGAGATGGAATAAAAAGGAATAAAATATGGAATACAAATTGGCAGTATTAAAAAAAGAAAGAACACAGATATTGTTGTACATTGTGTGCATTAATGTATTTGTTTTTGTTCCCTGTACAGCACGTTGGTCAACTGAGGTTGTTTTAAATGTGCTATATGAATAAATAAAGATTGAGATTGAGATTGAAATACAAACTTGTCAGTTCTGTTTACCTCTGTACAGCTGGTCGTATGAAGCTAAGATGCCGTCTTGCTCGGCACAAACCTCCTTCGCCTCGTGGAAAGTAAATCTGTAGCGGCCGTCTTCACTCTGGTACGGGAACACAACTCCTGCAGACAGAAGCAGGGTGTTTTGACCAGAGAGGAAAGAAGTACACACATCCTTTACTCAAGTAGAAGTACAGATACTCGTGTTTAAAAATACTCTGGTGAAAGTAGAAGTACTGACTAAACTTCTGTACTCAAGTGAAAGTAAAGAGGCTTTGAAGTGTACTTCAGTAAAAAGTACCCATAACTAGCAGCTGCTTTAAAGAGTACCTGACCTCCCTTTATATTAATAGAACAATAATGTCATTGTTAGCTAATGAATGTTTCCATGCTGAACAACGGCAACATGACAACGTTTCCATTGGTCCCTCTTCTTTAGAGAAGACCAAGGAAATGATGGATACACGGATCGTGTTCAAATCAATAGGCACGCAATGACTCTAAAGAATAATGATCACGCATCAAACACACATTCAGACTAAAGGAACCAGCTGTTTGGAAATGAGAGAAGTAGAAAGTACAGGTATTTGAGTTCAACATGTAAGAAGTAGAAAGTACAGGTATTTGAGTTCAACATGTAAGAAGTAGAAAGTACAGGTATTTGAGTTCAACATGTAAGAAGTAGAAAGTACAGGTATTTGAGTTCAACATGTAAGAAGTAGAAAGTACAGGTATTTGAGTTCAACATGTAAGAAGTAGAAAGTACAGGTATTTGAGTTCAACATGTAAGAAGTAGAAAGTACAGGTATTTGAGTTCAACATGTAAGAAGTAGAAAGTACAGGGTATTTGAGTTCAACATGTAAGAAGTAGAAAGTACAGGTATTTGAGTTCAACATGTAAGAAGTAGAAAGTACAGGTATTTGAGTTCAACATGTAAGAAGTAGAAAGTACAGGTATTTGTGTTCAACATGTAAGAAGTAGAAAGTACAGGTATTTGTGTTCAACATGTAAGAAGTAGAAAGTACAGGTATTTGTGTTCAACATGTAAGAAGTAGAAAGTACAGGTATTTGTGTTCAACATGTAAGAAGTAGAAAGTACAGGTATTTGGGTTCAACATGTAAGAAGTAGAAAGTACAGGTATTTGAGTTCAACATGTAAGAAGTAGAAAGTACAGGTATTTGTGTTCAACATGTAAGAAGTAGAAAGTACAGGTATTTGTGTTCAACATGTAAGAAGTAGAAAGTACAAGTATTTGTGTTCAACATGTAAGAAGTAGAAAGTACAGGTATTTGTGTTCAACATGTAAGAAGTAGAAAGTTCAGGTATTTGTGTTCAACATGAGAGAAGTAGAAAGTACAGGTATTTGAGTTCAACATGTAAGAAGTAGAAAGTACAGGTATTTGAGTTCAACATGTGAGAAGTAGAAAGTACAAGTATTTGTGTTCAACATGTGAGAAGTAGAAAGTACAGGTATTTGTGTTCAACATGTGAGAAGTAGAAAGTACAAGTATTTGTGTTCAACATGTAAGAAGTAGAAAGTACAGGTATTTGGGTTCAACATGTAAGAAGTAGAAAGTACAAGTATTTGTGTTCAACATGTGAGAAGTAGAAAGTACAGGTATTTGTGTTCAACATGTGAGAAGTAGAAAGTACAAGTATTTGTGTTCAACATGTAAGAAGTAGAAAGTACAGGTATTTGGGTTCAACATGTAAGAAGTAGAAAGTACAGGTATTTGTGTTCAACATGTAAGAAGTAGAAAGTACAGGTATTTGTGTTCAACATGTAAGAAGTAGACAGTTCAGGTATTTGAGTTCAACATGTAAGAAGTAGAAAGTACAGGTATTTGTGTTCAACATGTAAGAAGTAGAAAGTACAGGTATTTGTGTTCAACATGTAAGAAGTAGAAAGTACAGGTATTTGTGTTCAACATGTAAGAAGTAGAAAGTACAGGTATTTGTGTTCAACATGTAAGAAGTAGACAGTTCAGGTATTTGAGTTCAACATGTAAGAAGTAGAAAGTACAGGTATTTGTGTTCAACATGTAAGAAGTAGAAAGTACAGGTATTTGTGTTCAACATGTAAGAAGTAGACAGTTCAGGTATTTGAGTTCAACATGTAAGAAGTAGAAAGTACAGGTATTTGTGTTCAACATGTAAGAAGTAGACAGTTCAGGTATTTGAGTTCAACATGTAAGAAGTAGAAAGTACAGGTATTTGTGTTCAACATGTAAGAAGTAGAAAGTACAGGTATTTGGGTTCAACATGTAAGAAGTAGAAAGTACAGGTATTTGAGTTCAACATGTAAGAAGTAGAAAGTACAGGTATTTGTGTTCAACATGTAAGAGGTAGAAAGTACAGGTATTGGGTTCAACATGTGAGAAGTAGAAAGTACAGGTATTTGTGTTCAACATGTAAGAAGTAGAAAGTACAGGTATTTGAGTTCAACATGTAAGAAGTAGAAAGTACAGGTATTTGGGTTCAACATGTGAGAAGTAGAAAGTACAGGTATTTGTGTTCAACATGTAAGAAGTAGAAAGTACAGGTATTTGGGTTCAACATGTAAGAAGTAGAAAGTACAGGTATTTGAGTTCAACATGTAAGAAGTAGAAAGTACAGGTATTTGTGTTCAACATGTAAGAAGTAGACAGTTCAGGTATTTGGGTTCAACATGTGAGAAGTAGAAAGTACAGGTATTTGTGTTCAACATGTAAGAAGTAGAAAGTACAGGTATTTGGGTTCAACATGTAAGAAGTAGAAAGTACAGGTATTTGAGTTCAACATGTAAGAAGTAGAAAGTACAGGTATTTGTGTTCAACATGTAAGAGGTAGAAAGTACAGGTATTTGGGTTCAACATGTGAGAAGTAGAAAGTACAGGTATTTGTGTTCAACATGTAAGAAGTAGAAAGTACAGGTATTTGAGTTCAACATGTAAGAAGTAGAAAGTACAGGTATTTGGGTTCAACATGTGAGAAGTAGAAAGTACATGTAAGAAGTAGAAAGTACAGGTATTTGGGTTCAACATGTAAGAAGTAGAAAGTACATGTAAGAAGTAGAAAGTACAGGTATTTGGGTTCAACATGTGAGAAGTAGAAAGTACAGGTATTTGTGTTCACATGTAAGAAGTAGAAAGTACAGGTATTTGTGTTCAACATGTAAGAAGTAGAAAGTACAGGTATTTGGGTTCAACATGTAAGAAGTAGAAAGTACAGGTATTTGAGTTCAACATGTAAGAAGTAGAAAGTACAGGTATTTGGGTTCAACATGTAAGAAGTAGAAAGTACAGGTATTTGTGTTCAACATGTAAGAAGTAGAAAGTACAGCTATTTGGGTTCAACATGTAAGAAGTAGAAAGTACAGGTATTCGTGTTCAACATGTAAGAAGTAGAAAGTACAGGTATTTGTGTTCAACAGTTAAGAAGTAAAAAGTCGTCACAAAAATAAGTAGTGGAGTAAAGTACTGATACCAGAAAAATGTACTTACAGTAACGAAGTATTTGTACTCCACTACTTCCCACCACAGGCTGCCAATGGTCTCCATACTGCTTTGATTACCTTCTATCCTCAGAGTAATGACCACGCTCTCGTCCTCGATGCCGTTCACCAGCTCGCAGCGGTACTTCCCCCCGTCGTCCAGCAGGAGGCGTCTGATCTGCAGCGAGGCGTCCATGCTGTGAGATCTCCGGAGAGATGCTCGCACTCCAAGATGGCCGTACGGTTTGAAGGCTTGTGCGTTAGAGATCATGATGATGTTTTCCCGCCCCACGTTCTCCGGCTCCAGCTTGGTCCATTTCACTTTGTAATGTCTGGGTTTGGTTCTGAGGATACACGGCAGGGTGGCGTTTTGTCCTCTTCGAGCGACGACCTCAGCGTAAACCGGAGGCTCCAAGAGGTACTTTAGCTTCGAGGTAACTGTGGAAGAACCGGAATCAATCAATAAATAAATCAATCAATCAATCAATCTCCCGCTTCCTCAGTAGAGTAAAGAACATTGTGAAGGACAGTTCACATCATGGGCACCATCTGTTTGCCCTACAGATGTCTTAAAGCAAAGACAAACATACTTAAAGACCGTTTCTTCCCCAGAGCAATAATTACACTAAACTCCGGCTTGCACTGACACAATATATATATATATATATATATATATATATCTTTTGTATACACATTGAAACATATTTACTGACCTCACCACTGACCTCACCACCTTCAAAAAACTCACAACAACTCACCTCTTCAATCTGTCTTGTAATGTGTGATTGTTGTTATATTGCTTGATTTTTATTTGACTTCAACTATATTTATTTGTTGTTCTTTTATTTCCACTATCTCTGTAAAGCGACTTTGAGCACCTGTAAAACCCAGTGGTGAACCGTGTCTATCACAACTGGACCTTCTGCAGACACACACACCCCCCCGCCGCCGCCCCCTGACCCCCCTCCGCGGCATTATAATGTCCGTTTTTTCACTGAATTGTCGTCTTGAAAAGGGTACTCACAACAATTCCGCACCAACATCATCTTCACCTGTTGCACTTGTCATTTCAACGTTAAAAACAATAACACAGCATGAATTACTTCGTCGCATTCATCTAGATTCTAGATCCTCTGTCTCGAGCCAGTTAATTAGCAGGCCTTCTAGAATACCCTGGAACCGAGGGGAACTCTGAAAGAATACGCCCATTGGCTACAAATCAATATATGATTGGTTGATCAAACTGTCAGTCCAAACGTACGTTTTTTTTTCTAGCACAAAACCACTGAAATGCGTAGTGCATGGTCCGAGAAGGACAAACAAATCAACGTAACACTGTAATATTACAGATCAACAACACAGATACGATTCTCATTTATTGATTTTATTTATATAATTAAATCGATTTTTTTTTTTTTTTTTTAATCTGAGTGTTCCAGGGTATTCTCTGAATACCTTGAAGGCCCTGACGGTTTGCCACTGGTAAAACCGCTTACAAATAAATAAATCTATTATTTATTTATTTTACTTAAACTGATATATTCCTACACTTTAACTGTATCTGCATATTGAAGTATGAATACTTGTTGCTTGTTGTCTCCTCCTGAATGTTGTACGTCTCTTTGTATTTTTGATGGCACCTTAAAAAAGCTTTACTCATCTCATTGTACCTGTATAATGACAATAAAGGATTATATTCTAGTCTATTCTATTCTATTTATATAGCCCAATATCACAAACGTTACATTTGTCTCAGTGGACTTTACAGTTTGTACAGAATATCAATACGACACCCTCTGTCCTTGGACCCTCACATCGGACAAGGAAAAACTTCCAAAGAAACCCCACAGGTAAAGGGGAACATGGGAGAAACCTCGAAGAGAGCAATAGATGTTGTGTGTAAATTGAAAAGATAATACATTTACAACATAGGTAGTCCAAATGCATGGAAATGCATGTCTCTATAAATAAGAAGATGAATCCAGGTGGATGTCAAAGGACAGTCAATACCATGCTAATCCCTCATGTAGATACATATTTGAAGGTTTTGTTTTCTGAATATAGTGACGTTAAAAGGATAAATTAATAATATATATGGCCTGCATTTTCATACATTTCAAAAGACATAAATATATGACTTTTGTCTCTCTTTGCCCTAAGACCTGGCAGTATTTTTGCACCAGTTTAATACGAATCATTTGCAAAAAGCTCTCATTTTGAATAGAATCA